ATTACAGGACTTGAACAGTGGAACTTTGTAACTGAACAAGAAATTATGTCTGTTTATAGAATTAAAGAGGAAAGTATTAGCACATAAAACGAAGCAACTTAAACAATTTACATTAAAAGAAATGTTTAATAAAGCAAATAAATATTAAGCTTTTTTTTTGTAAATTTTGATACCCTTTAGATCATAATTGCTCTTTATTTCATAAATTATGGTTTAATATTTTTAATTTTATAATTTCTGCATGCCTTCTTACCAGATTTAAATTGATGATCTATAATCCGGAAAAACCCCTAATCCGGAATAGCCAAAGTCCCGACGAGTCCAGATTAAAGACTTTGTACTGTATAATACTGAAGCCATTTCACAAGTTGTAAAAAGCAATAGTTCAGATTCTGATTTCATCTACACTTTTCATTAATTTCTTTGTCCCTCTCCTAATTCTCCCTTTGTCTCAGTATCCCAGTTGTTCTTTGAGTATTTCTTGAGCAGTAATTTTTCATTTAAAGACAGCTTTACTCTAAGTCTGTATAGAATTTTAGTAGTATTCTTTCATTTCGGTCAAATAACGATTTCAATACTTCCTGATTATCTGTGTCCCCCACAACCAAAAACCATGAAAAAGTGATCATGAGGCAAAGCAGTATGTCACCAAAATAGTTGTGTGGCAACCCACAATTTAGTAAAAATGTATTTATGTGGCAACCCAGGTATGTATGTATACCGCAGGTCAACCTAACTTGAGAACACTGGTTATAGTAGAGAGTGTATGTGTCCGCCGTAGAATAGAATTCTACCATTTCGAGAAGTTATATTGTAAAAAATACGCTGTGAAATATAAATAGTGTTGAACAAAGAGAACGGGAGGAAAAATATGTGTGAAACGCTAGATTAAGTTGCATCCAGCATTTTGTTTAAAAATTTGCTAAATCATGTCAATCGTTCGATGACCAGCAGGAAGGCATCCTCTTTTTTTGGCATTATTGGCGACACTGCAAATTCCAGCAACCCCGACCTCACCCCACTCTTGACAAGAAAAGCAATTAAGGCATTCATTCACTGACCGGGAGGAGAAAAAAGTAACTGTTATGGTATCTGCTTCATCTTCGACATATACGTATAATTTTCAACCTCATAAAGCTGGAAAACCACTGCACAGTTCCACTAAGATTATTGTAATGAATTGCTTTTGTCAAATTACGGGAGCATTACCATAATAATTCCGATAATGTTACTTGTTACAATAATCTTAGCGGGATTGAATACCTCAGTTAAAAAAAAAGGCTCTTTTAAGAGCCCCAAATTAAAAATATTAGGGCTGTTTTCAAGGCAAAAATTTAAAAAAAGGCAAAATTATAAACAGTTATACAAGCTAACAACCTTTAATAACATAATATGAAAATGTCCCTCCAGTAGCCGAGTACTTAAATCGCTGAATACTGGTAATTTGAAATTGTTTGAACCCAAGCAAACGGGTTGTATTCATGGCCAGTTTGAGTGGTTTTCCCATGTGTAACATGAATACGGTCTTGTTTCTTTTAGAAATTCCCCCACAAATGCATCTCACCTTTTAGACAATTCTGTGCTTTGCTATATTCAAATTACCTAACCTAACCAATACGGAAGTACTAATGAATTAAGTTAATTATGGTAGAAGGAACAAGGATTTCTGTCTAAAGGAGGAGATGGCTTTGTGGGGACTTAAATTCGTGGGGACTAAAAAATCAAATTTGAAAATTTTCCTCTCATTCACTGTTATGGAAGCAACAAGCTATGTAAATTCTTTAAAATTAATAGAAAATTAACTTACTACCAGATTTTCAAAATTTATATATTTTATTTCTAATTAAGTGAACAGTCTTGAGAAAAAAATTTAACCCAAACTACAAGGAATACATTGTTAGCTCTTCCGTTTCAAGTTTTAAAGTAACGATTTGGGTATTAAATGTCATCAAATTCGTATATGCCACATTTAGATAATAGTGAAAAATTTCTTAAAAATTAATAGAAAATTTACTTACTACCAGATTTTCAAAACTTATATATTTTATTTCTAACTAAGCGAACGGTCTTGGGGAAAAAATTGACCCAAACTACAAGGAATACATTGTTAACTCTTCTGTTTCAAGTTTTAAGTAACAATTTGGGTTTTAAATGTTATCAAAATCGTATATGTCACATTTAGATAATAGTGAAAAATTTCATATAAATTAAGACAATGAATAACATGCCCTACATTTTATACTACAATGAACTATTGGTTTCAATTGCAGCTTTATTGTATAAAAAGATTGTTCTTTAAATACGCTAGATTTGGCAATAAGTCGCCAAATGTGCAGCGCATTGGAGGAATTGAATCTCCGTGGGCAGTTTGCTGCATATGGATAACTTGATAAACAGGGTGAAAAGGTCGTTCTAGCCTTGCATGTGTTCTCAGGTTAGCTTGTCGTGAAGTATAGCATGTTTGTTTAGGCTGGCGTGCAATACCATAGTTGTATTACTATTCTGAGTTTGCATAATTCTTTGATTTTCTTAGAGCAAAGACAAATTGCTGCATACGTGGGAAGAACAATGTAAAAAAAAAAAAAAGATTCCCTTTAAAAAAAAAAGTTTTTTTTTTTTTTTTATTATTATTATTTTAACGATCGTCCTTGCTTTTTTAATTTAATTGATCGATAGCTTTTGTATGGAATTCTTAGTTTGCTGCTTTTTGAAATGGCCATTCCTTTTGGGCATTAATTTGGCATAAAACTAGTCACCAATCAGTCGCAAATGCTCTCCAAAGTTGCCAATAAGTTTAGGACTTTTCAGTGGGGATACAGCTAATAAGAAAGTACTATAATTCTTATTATTTTGCAGATTGTTCAGATAGTGTTTATTTTTCTCCTTCCTCTCTCTTCACCACCCTCAAAATTATAACAAGAATTTTATAAGCTTAATGACTTTTTATAGACTGCTGCTTCAGATTCTTTCCTTGTTGCTTCCCTGTATACAGAATATCCTGCAGCTAATTTTCTAACTTGATAGATTAAGTTTGATAGATAACTGTTTCGTAGTTGACAGGAAACTGTTTAGTAATTGATAGATAATTATTTAATAGCTGGTAGATATCTGCTTAGTAATTTGGCAAATGAACTTCAGAATTATATAAACAAATTACACCTTCATAAATATGAATTGAATTAGTACATATATTTTCTGACAAAATACTGTAGCTGAAAAATCCTTTTCAAGGTGTACATAAAAGCAAATAAACTTCAATACATAGCAATGCTTCATTTCTGAGATTCTGCACCAAAAATTGCAACTACTATAATTTAAACTGAAACTATTCATCATTTACGTCGTCAAAAATGAAAGGTGTTTTGCATATATGTGGTAAGTAGTCAGCAAGTCTACATGCACATCCATTACATAGAGTAGATTTAAAAGTGGATTAGTTTTTCAATTAAATAATTGCAATAATATCATGGCATCTTGTAATAGATACAAAAAATTGATCAACATCAAAGTTTTCTTATAATATTTCCAACTCCATAATCATTATCAATCCTTTTACTATCGTGCCTATTAAAATGAAAAATAATTTCTATTTATAAACTTTAGGTAAGTATACTTTTGGTCCCCATTCCTTGTTCCTAAGTATTGTTCCTATAAAATATGCAACTAAAAAACTACTTATTGTAGGGTGTAAATTAAACACAAGGGAAAAACGCTTATTCTTTGATTCCTGCTCTTCGTATTGGTTAACTATGCATTTCCCACTTTTATTTTATTCCCTTCTTGCATTAAGGGGAAAAATTTTTTTTTCCTTCCTAAGATTGTAAGATTTTACAATCTGTTACATCAAGTATGTTATTCATTATTTCATTATTTTTAATGGAATCTGTTATTTTCCCATATTTATTTAGCCCAGCCTAAATTGCTGAGTACACCTTTGACATATGCCCCTTAGCCAGGCCCAAATGATTTATGCATTTGAAGTTACCACTATTAGCCAAAGATGAATATCACCAGATTAGTAACTCCAGGGAAAATATTAACAAATAATATGTAAAACAGCTTGATAAGTCAAACTATACCAAAATAAACAGGTATATTATGCAGTTTGTACAGCATCATTAAAAAAAGTCACATAATAATAATAATGGTCAAAATCTGATTATCAAATAACGAAAGTCTATTTACTAAATACAAAACCTAAACTCAGGAATATATATTTAGTATCTAGCCAAGGGACTAATGAATACTTTATTCCTGGAGTATCTGATCATCTAAATGAAAGCCCTATATTCAGATTTTTGGAAAATGGAATTAAAAACAGAAAAATATCAAACTTCAGAGTTGATCAAAATGTAGTTTCGTAACTCCAGACATCAGCTGCGGAACAAATGACTTATTTAGGTTAACAAGAATGCCATATTTGATAACTTATCACATTTCTTGCTTCTATGCATCACGAAATAACTTTTTACTCAGCAGATGGAAAACATTTAAATGTCTGTAATCATTCAAACCCAACCATCCAAAGGAAATGAAGCAAAACAATTTTTACTTTTCTCAAAATTTCTTAACTATTTTTACTTTACTTTCTGAGTTTCAAAATGAAATTGCCTTTGCTTGAAAAGGAATCCATGAGAGGAGAACAAACTGAATCATTTTAAGAAGTGCAGCAATTTTTGAACAACTCTCACACCTGCACTGATTTATTTCAAAATAAAATCTTAAACTCTAATCAAATTCATCTCTTATTCTTCCCTTATGCAACATTTTCTCAAATAAATTGTTTTATTCATTAGAATTACATTTCTCAGTATCTGTTCTTACTCAAATTAGAAAAAAGGATGATTAAAATTACAAACTTTAATTTGAGTATCTCATCATCATAATAAGTAAAATTATATCGAAGATACTTCTAATTATAAATATATTTTATTAAAGCAAAATATTAACTACAGTAGAAAAATATAGTATACAATAATTTACAAAATAAAAATACAAACCTGTTGATAAAATTTCCTAAGTTATTCAGAAGCTCTGAATTCACTTTTAACATCAAATCATTCCAACTAAAGTATGTGTCCTGGAAATTAATATTTTAATGAACATACGTATTCAATGCTTAAAACATTTTAGGAATACAAAAATTGGAAATTTTTATGAACAAGCAAGTTTAAAACTTCACACATACTAAATTATTCGAGTAAATGTTTGAAATTATGCATGTAACATTTTTCTAAATTCAGTTAGTTTTTCACAAGCTATAGCACAGAAGTTATATATTAATATATATATATATATATATATATTAATATATATATTAATTTTTAAAAATGTAATGATTTTACTATTCTGGAAAGTGAAAATAAGCAAGCAAAAGGTCTATTGTAATTAACATATAAATATTAAATTAAAAAAAATTTAATTAAATAAATGTTTAATATTCATTATATTGTTTAATCTTAATTTTGTTCATATTGCTTAATCTTAATTTATATTTTTTACTCAATATTTTTACTAGTTTTAACAGATCTTTACACTTGCTTATTTTCACTTCACCAGAACAGCATAATTATATTTTTAAAAATTTAAATTCACAAATCTCTGCTGCAAAACCACTAGATTTCCACAAACTTAAGTCCTTAAAGTTACTCACTAGATTAATGTTTTTTAAATTATATTTAAAATAAATCTAATTTGCCAATGGAAGATTTTTTTTTGAATAATTTTAGCTGCTGACATATTTTTATTGTTAGCATTTGAGCACAGGCTTCTTTTTCATCATTTGCACTTCTGCAACTGAAAACGTAGGTTGTATGTTCAAACCAATTAAGTTAAAATAACATGCCAAATAATAATTAATGGAGAAGTTAAATAACAAGAATCAGGGTTATGTTTGTAAATTTGCAGGATTTGTTTTGATGTTTAAATACAGAACCATCGAAACTAATCCTTCAAAATTTACAAACATTATGGTGATTGTTGTTGCCTTAACACCTCCAATCAGTGTATGTATATATATAAAATCAAAGTGACATATACCCAATTACATATATATATACATATAAAAAAACAAGATGTTTTATAATTATACATCAATGTATTATCTGATTTAATTTTAACTACTAATATATTAAGCCTTCAAAACAAATTAAAAACAAATTAGCCAACAAGTAATTAAAAGAATTCTAATCCATATATAAAATGCAAGTTTTAACAGAATTTTGTTAATATAACAGCACACAGAGAAAACAGTGTTTTAATATGAACCATAAATATTATAAATTTCAGCAAAACTGAGATGACTGAGAATCACATTTGAAAAGAAAATGCCCATCTTGTTAGAAAATTGGTAGTATTACAAGTTTACCTGTTTTTATCTACTACTAATCAGGAGAGCTGCAAATCTGAAAAAACGAGTCCATGCAGTGCCAAACATTCAAGTTGTGGTGACACTGTTGGTGAAGCATGAGAAGATCAGAAACTTTAGAATTTTCTTTCAGCAATTAACAGTCAGCTTCAACTAGTAAGACTGCACTTGACTGCAGACAAATTAGGTTAAATTACAAACATATGTTAATCTGATCTATTTGCAGTTTAGTGCAGATAGATTTTTCATTTTTCAGTAAAATGAAATGTTGAATTATTTTGCCAGTTATCTTCTTACTATACCTCAAAATAGTAATAAAAAAGAATTTGTCAGTGTGTATGCATAGAGCATAGTTACAAACACACGGTCCACAGCTATGGAATTCAACTCAAGTTCTTCAGAGAGGATCCAAACACACTTCAAAGCTATTTTTTTAAATTAAAACTAGTTTTTTTTGGGGGGAAGGGGTATTTTGTTTGTTTGCTTTTGTTGTTGTTGCATTGGAGTCTCTCAACAACCCAAATATAGATGGTAGGAATTGTGGTTGTCAACCAAAGGACCATATGGAATGTAAGTTAAACATAAGTTTTAATCGGTCTTTTCCTTAAATAGGGGATGTCAACCCATGACATTTAAAGAAACTTAAGATGGAGAATAGAGTGAGATTAACAAGCATAAAGTTTACAATGATAACTGTTGCATTACTTCAGGTATTATATTACATTAGGTACTCAGGTGCTTGACTGTGAACTTATGCATTGCTTTATAGTAAACTAGCTGCTATGCACCGGCCTTGTCTGTCTTTTAAATGTACCATAAAAATGCCTAAAGAAAACACCAAACATTAAACTTAAAACCTGCACAGAATTTTACTCTGCAGAACAACTTTATTTTTCAAAAAAATCAATAAAAATGTATCACATATTAAAAATTACAATGAAATAAGCAATATCCCTTAATACAATATTAATTATCCTAATAAATAAATTAACCAACTTCCCATTGCAAAATCTTAAGAATTCAAATGGTATAAAGGAAATTAAGAATTGTTTCCTAAAAAAAAAATCATGCAAAACTTTTATGTAATTAAAACATAATATAAAAATTACAATGAAATAAGCAATAAATCTCATATTTTCAAGAGAAAACAGTCAGCAGTCAGTATCCATAGCAATGAATGAAAAACTGTTGTCAGAACCACATTTCTAAAAGAATGAAACTATCATCAGAAACCAATCAAAATTGTGCTTTGTGGATGACATAATTCAAAATATACCAACCTCTCTGTTATTAGCCATTAGCCTCTTTGACACATGTTCCTTTTTCTCTCTCTCTCTCTAGAGAGAGAGGGGGGAAAAAAAGGAAATTCTTTCTGTTGTGCCTCACGAGACACATGCGCATCAGAATAAGAAAGATTGCGATGTGCGTGTTGCGTGTATAATTAATAGTTTATCTCATATTTTAACAGTCAGCAGTCCAGTATACAAAGCATTGAATGAAAACTGTTGCCAAACCCACATTTCTAAATGAATGAAACTATTCAAAATGATGCAATTTCATAAAAGAAGATATTTTTTTTAAAAAAATCTGATTCGAATTTTGGAAGAAAAATCACTTTGAGAAACATTGGCTCTTGTCTAGATGCACCTATGTACTAAATTTCATAACTCTGGGTCTATTAGCTTATGCACAGCACGAACGAAAGATGTACAAATAGACTCTTCTTTTATTATATGTAGAGATGCTGTCCAGGAAGCTCTGTTGAATTCCTACATCCATTGCTGTCTTCAACAGCTAAGTTCCATGTTAAGATTCCATGCATCACTTTGCTCTACTATGCTTGAGAGTAACATTACAGCCATATCAAGACAGGCCACAAGGATAATAATCTCAGGGGTAACCACAGCAGGATCCCAAACAATCTTGAGTTTTATCGCATGATTATACAGGATTTTAATTTCTTCAGCACTGCACAGACGCAAGGTGGAATGCATATTTCTCAACACCTTTTTTTTTTTACTCAATGTCAAATTATACTTCACCCATATACTGGCTTAATGATTGAAGAGCCTTCTTTACAATTCTCTTAAATATATCACATTATGATTTCACTGCATCACTGTGGAAAATTTCATTCCTTCAACAATCACATGGGTTTGCTTAGAAAGAGCAAAATAGTATATACTTTATGCAGAATAAGTTTCTTTCTTTTCTGTAATTTTCTGAGGGGAGGGAGTACTTCTATAAGACTCTCCTAAAACTTTTCCCCTTCCCCTGTAAAATGTTTTCTTTCTGTCCATGCAAAGAACTGGTATGCTGCTAAAAGTGAACTAATTAACCAAAATATAACTCACAAATAATAATGGAAACTATTTATACTATTAACAAAACATCACTTACTTGTGCCTCTGGTCTTAAATACAATAAATAGAACCTCCAAATGTCAGATGGAATTCCTGTCACTTTTGCATCATCTCCAAATACACCAATGCCTCGACTTTTTGAAAATTTCACATCTTCATAATTTAAGTATTCTAAAGACACAATAAAAAGGCATTTCAAAATTACTAATGCAACCTATACAGATTAAAAGCTATAAAACATGATAAATATATATAAGAATCAATTCATTGTAACAATACTTGGTACTTTTCCATTAAAACCATACTATGCATTTTCAGCATGATATTGGCTATTTCTTTCTCCATATCTCTGGCTCAGTACTATATGAAACAGAATGGCAACAAGCAACATTCTCTAATTTTGAGACAAAATCCTCCAAAAAAAACCCTTGTTAGAGCCTACTCTTTTTCTTTTTTAAAAATTAGTTTTAGTCAATTTCTGCAATTTTCTTGTGTCCATAAAATTTAATATTAAGATGAAATAACAAAAATCTGGCACATAACCTGTTTTACATAATTATCTCAACCAGTCACTGCATGATTTTACTTTGAAAATCATTTGAAACATGCTTTGATTTCCAAATCTCAATAGATATTAACTTCAGACACAATAAGTAAATGAGCCATGTGACCAAAACAAAAGGAATGCATGATCCAACTTCCCACTTGTGTCTGGATATCTCTTCTTTGCAGCGCGGGCAAAGGCTACATAGCCATTTTGACTTTAAATTACATTTTAATTTGAGGTAGTTAGTCAAATACAGTCTTTGTTTCTTTCTTGAAAAACACCCATTATAGAGTAAAAACTGATTAGATGAAAAATGTTGTTTTGTGTGTGATGGTCATAAAGACAATTATTGCCAGGAAAGATGCCAAGACAGACCAGCAACACCTAGCACTGAGGAAATATTGAAGAAAAAAAAAAAAAATCAGGGAAGGGGGGGTCCATATTACATGGAAGAATGGTTGCCAGTGCCTACTCTGAAGAGAGGTTGGACTTCTATTTTCCACACCCAATTCTGAGGGAGAGCACCCGGGGAAGGGGGGATACGGAGGTCTCCCACTCTTCTCCCCTTCCACCAATCCACACGAGAAGACTTTTGGCTCGCCACATACTTAGAGTGCCACCATGCTACACTGATGCTATACATTTACAAACATCCATGTCTTCTCCAGGATTTGAACATGGGCCCTTTGCTATTGTAGCAGGTTCACCTAACCACTATACCATATATACAAAGCATCTGGGTGACAAAAACAAAAAAGAGGTAAAGACGTGATGAGTGGAATTGTTTTAATGAAAACATACCCAGTTATTTAGTTATTAATTATTTTTCTACACTAAAAAGTATAATCAAACTTAATTAATAATTGAAATTACCAACAGCAGCCAAATGATTTACAATTGTGTAATTATCTTTAGTTCCAATCTGACTTGCAGGAAATATTATAGAATGAAATGGAACATTGTCTTTTGCCATGAATTGATATAGTTGAACAAGATCAGGTTGTTTCCACCATTTTTCCCAGTCTTCAGTATAATTTGCCGTAATAGACAAATACCCAATTGGTGCATCAAACCAAACGTAGAAAACCTGTTCAAAAATTCTTTAATAATTACTGAAAGAAGATAATAAATATTAAAGACAAAGTTTCATTAATTATCATTATAAAAGGAGCAATTAAAAATTTTCTCAGTATACAAGTAAAGTTTATTTTAGAACTTATACTGCTAGCCATCCAAATACAATATCATAAAAGAAAATCAAAATCATAATTACTGAACAAATAATACTAAGGATACTAGGCAAAAATAATTAAAACTACAGCTCCATTTGACTTGGAACACTAAAAAAATCAGAATTTTATATAGTCTCCACAGCTGCCAATAACTAATATAATGCTCTTCAGCAATAAAAAAAGATTTTAAATGTGTGCTTGGGGTATATGAATACATGCTATTTATAAATGCTGCTAAAGTTATCTAGCATAGCCATATGTGCTACATGCTAATCATTAGGCAGTTATATTCAAAAGGCAATATATTCAAGTGAACAGACCATCTAGGATGGAAATGAAAACTGGTAGACAATGAAGAACCACTGAATGCTGCATGCCATATAATATCCTGTTAAAGCTTAGCCACAAGCAAGCTTTGAACATAAGGAAGAAAAACAGGTTTCAAAACTTCACAGATGTGGTGGTTGTTGAGCGCGTCAGCAATACATACTAGGAAAAAGCAGAAGTAAAATTCATTGACATCCCAAAACAACTCTAAGGTGATAGACTAGTACAGTGATGCATAATGAAAGGGTTATGAAGCCTTTCTCAGCAGCACTACCAGACTTAAAAATGACTATTGTGGTGTTGTAGATGAAAGAGAAATTTGTCTAAAAATATAATGTCATGCTATTCATTTGTTTTTGTTCAGTGTTTAACACATTGCAGTTTCATATGCCTGTAGTGTAAAATCAACAGTAGTTACAGCCATGGAGGCTTTGAAAAAGTCCCCCCTTCTCTAGAGACAATACGAAATGATATATGCTAACATAGTTTGTTGAGCAACAAATCTTAGTTCTTGATATTGTTGGGCACAACATGCCTGTCCCCTCTTTCAGTGGTATGATGAAACTCATGTGATTATTCCCGCCACATGGGGCCATCCCTCTTTCACCCATGAATTCCACATTTACATCACTAAGCTTGATTTCATCCACCACAAAGCCTCAAAAACTCATTTTTCAAAAGGATGCTCCTCAGTTGCAATAAACTAAAACCCGCCAGTGGCCAAGTGGGAAAGCCAGTGAACACTGGTGGTTTGATCCAAAGCTTGAATCCCAGAGAATGGGTTGGCTACATGGGCTTTTTTGTAGTTTTCCTCCAAGTGGCATACTGAAGTTTCCCACTCAGAAGAAAAGCAGGAGAACACATAATTCCAATATTTAAAATAGTCTATAGTTATCCTTTTTCAAGTGCTTCTAAATGGCATTATTTGTACATGTTTTCCAATGCTAATCATTTGCATGCTCAGTCAAAGTCTATGCTTGTACAAATTCCAAGCATAATAGATGCTTCTTTCATGGATGCTGCATTTTGAATGGCTGGCAGAGTATTATCAGATTGAACAGTATAATTTATGGAGCAGTAAATCTTTGATGAAAGAAAAGAACTGTTGTAATCAACAAAATACTTGCAATTATCAAAAACAGAAACATTTAATTTAAATAAAGCTAATTTTAAAATACAAAAGGGCTAATTTAATATAATAAAAAATAATTAAGCAGAATTTAATTAATGAACAGTACACTGAAGTGCCAATGAATCAAGAGACACATTGTTAAGCATTAAAATTGGTATACCAAGAAGAAAGTTAAACATGAAATTTACATGAAAGACAGAAATGCAAAGATATGAGATTAGCATTTTATAGTATGCAGGCATTTCAAGCAAGAGTAATACTTCAAAGCAATATAAAATAGGAGACTGAAATGTCAATTTTTTATTCCTAAATCATGTTTACCCTTTTTTATTCATTGTGGGATGAAAAGGAACTAAGATTAGAACATTTCAGAATTAAATCATGGAAAATCTTAGACTGCCAAGATTGTGGATTATCATATTGCACAATAGCTGTTCAAGTTTACCGAGATGAAGTTATTGTTATGTGAATTTGCAAGGGCAGATCTAGCAGGATCCCAGGTGAGATGTGAGAGGTCTCAATACCCACTACTTATCAATGTCCAAGATGATAAATATTTTAACCATGTCACTGATAGGGTTGTAAAGCCACATCTTGCACCCTGGTTCAGGAAACTGGGTTTATTAGATGACACCAAGTACCTGCATGTATAATGGCATTAGTAAAGCGACTACTGTTTTGACTTCAGTTGATAATGCAACATAAAAATCAGCACTTATAATGGTGCACTCAATAATGCTGATGGATGTATCAATGGTGTGATGCCATCTTTTCTCATGAATTCCACTTTTTCTTACAGTATTGTGATGGCTGTATTTGTGTGTGGAGACACAGATGAATGAACATTACAAGCTTGCATTCTTCAACATCTCATTAGTCCAATGTCTAGGACTGAAGGTTTGAGGCATCATTAGATAATATCCCATTCACTTCTAGACTACATATCCAGTACTTTAAGTCATGTTATTAATAGCCATATTGAACAACCATTAATAGCAAGAACCAGTATTTGCTAGCCTAGATACTGAAGTTTTAATGCTTGCGGCTGTGCTGTATCTCATGGGCTTCAATCATTCCAAATTTTAATAGGATCGTACACAATATTCAACTCTTGCTTTGATTGGTAAAATCTTCAGGTCTCTCACCAACTGAAAAATTCAGGTAAACTACTACAGAGAGACACTGCAAAGACAACACCCACTGTTTAAATATGACAGTTTGGCAGAGCAGTTGAATAGACTGCAATATAGGCTATATTAGAATACTATACCTTGGTACTTGCAAGAGTAAACATGTTTTTTGCATGGATCTGGATCTTTGATGAGCTATGCTCTTGATTAACAGAATCTGTAATACTTACATTCATAACATATTAATATAGTTAACACATTTTATTGTACCATATTCTTTGATTAAGCTGGATGTATACATTCTGATGAATTTTTGTATTACATGTTAAATACAAATTATGTATTCTCATGCCATTATAATGTTACAGTTATATTACTTGATTTATTAAAGTTATCATGTATTCTTTATGTTAAGAAAACTATTTTTTGGCATAACTTCATATAGTACAGAATATTTCTTCCTTTTAGAAGAAAGTTACGACTTTCTTAATTTATTGTAAACGACTCTTGTAATATATGCATTATTACATTTATATTATTGCATATTAAGTAATTAAATCTATGATTTATTATTTTACAAATCATTAGAGTATTACATATTAAGCAATTCATGATTTATTATATACAAAATATATAATATATATATCATCGTAACATTTATAAGTTATTTACCTAAAAATTTATTATTATTATACATGACCTCGCTGCAGTGCACTGCATTGTACAAACTGAATAAATGAATTAAAGACACAGTTGTCATGGCAGCCTTGCATTTATATCATTATTCGTTTCCATATCTATACATTATTCATATCTATCATTATTTTACCATACATAATTGAACTACTCATATCAAATGTCTTTATATACCTACTGCATATGTACTTTATATAACTACTACTACTTCAACTTATGATTAATAAATGACTGAAATTTTAATAATTTCTTGTATCCATTATAATGCATTTGCAAAATAAAATGCCTGATGTGGACACCACACGACTTTTTTGTATGGCCTATTAAATTATACACATTTTCTGCTGCATTTCATTCAAACTTATTTCCTCGAATTTCATTACAGATATATTTCTCATTCAATCAATTCAGTTTTCATTTCATGGCAAGGCAAAAATACATAAAAACTCAAACCATCTTCATTCATAATTGTAAAATACAGAAAAACATAAAAAAAAAAAAAAAAAAAAAAAAAAGAGTTTAAAAAATGTTACAATTAAAATTAAGAGTTTCTATGCAAAAACAAGCAATTCAGTGAGCGGGAGCATAACAGATTTTTTGGTGCACAAACTTGAAAGTTTACTTTTGATCCCACTCAGCAAAACGACAATGAAGTTGGTGCACAAACTGACTTAATTCACTGTTCTACTGAGAGTTTCAAATGTTAAACAAATGGAAACCTCATTAGGCTTAGACTTAACTTAAACTTTTTAATTGTTGATAATTCTACAACTATTGCATGCAGATTGACTAAAGACATAAAAGCCTTAACTGGAACATAAATCAATCACTTTTAAAGCAAAAAATGCACAATTTATCAACATACAAGAATAAAAAAACTGAGATCACTGAGAAGGGTAACAGAGTGGGTACATATAATATATATATCTTACATGCATTTATGTATGTTTGGTGTGGCTGACTGAAACCAAAAAGGGGAGGTGCACAACTATATGCTATAGCAGTCCCATATACAAAATTTCAACATTCACAGACTACTAATTTTTGAGCTATGAAAGATATAAACATACCTACATACATACATACAGACATCACAAAAAAAAATCTCTTTTGAATCCATTTTGGAAAAAAAGAGTTATTTGTTCTGTCGATACATACAAATGTCATGAAAAATATTCAGATGGATTCGAAAGTGGTCAAAATGGATATTTTCATTGAAATATGATACTCAAAATTTTCACGATTACAATATTTCCTTTAATTAGATGTTGAACAAAAAAGCCTGGAGGACAGTAAGTTTATTGGTTCAGCAATTTCTTCATTTCTGAAGCACAAAAATATATGAAAGATATTCCTCCCATTCAAAATTAGTTTACTTGTAGACAATGCACCTGGCATTCTACACCTGGACAAATACATCTGGAACACCCAAATGTGAAGGTTTTATTCCTGCCAAGCAATACAACAGCCTTGATACAGCTGCATGATCAGGGAATTATTGATCACGGACCTTTAAGCCACATTACATTAACAAAACTTTTAAATATATCCTGGATACACCTGATAAAAACAAAAGATTTACAATCATAGACAATCGTAAAAAAATTTCAATTATGGACTGTGCACAGTGCATTGGCATGACACTATTATTATTTAAAGCCATCAACTCTGAATGCATGTTTAGACCAATTAGGTAAAACTGCATGTGTTAACTATATTAGCCTGAACACAACTGGTGTATGCTGTCACAGTAATTTATCAGATATGAATCAAAGCATGGGGCATCAGTACAATTACTACAAGTCTGATCAAAGATTACTCCCAAGAAGAAGATAACCATACCAAAATTGGAACTGCTAGCAGCTACAATTGGACTGCATAAGTCAGTAATGGAAGCTCTTAAATTGGAAGATATAGAATCTTTTGGACAGATTCAACAATAGTTCTTATTTTATCAGTAACAGAATAAGAGGGGGGAAAAAAAGACAACTGGCTTCCTCTGACCCATGCAAACATGCTCAGATGATCAGAACCTCGGGAATTTATCTCCTTGAGGATATGCAGCAATATAGTTGCTAAAATCCCAATGGTGGGAAGATCTGCAGCAGCTAAAAAGTGAGGAAGCTTGGCCAAAATCCAACAGTCAAAAAAATGCACAAGAAGTATCAGTGGAGAAGATAAAATGCATCAAATCTTCATCAAAGAGTGTTCAAGTGGAAAATATAAACTGGCATTTGAAACATTTCTTGAAGAACATTTGCATAGTATGCTGGATTGGATTTTACAACTCAAGAAAAATAGTCATATTCCCAAAAATCAATGTATCCATGATGATTTGTCTTGCGAGGAATATATAGCAGCTGAATACAAGTTATTACAACTAGTTCAAAGGGAAATGCTCTTTGGTTTTGATGATTCTAAATTACTGAGTTTATCTTCCTATGTCAACAAAAATGGTGTTTTATAATTGAGAATGAAGATTTCTTATCAAGAATATACAAAGAAGTTTTGGCATACAGCAGTTTCACCTGATGATAACCAAAGTCTTTTCAGATTGGTTTTCGATGCACATTTAAACTCATTTCATGCTAGTACTAAGATGATAAGGGCAATTCTTAGAGACCATTATTGGATTTTAGATTTTTGTCATATCATCTGAGCCATTCTTAAGCAATGTTTAAGGCATAAATGGTACCCAAAATTTACAAAGTAAAAAATATGGAGGCTTTACTCATTGTCTTGCCAAAAAAATCATGCATGTAATAATAAGGTCTCTGAAGTAACAGGAATAGATTTTACTGGTCTTTTTACCCCCAAAGGCCAGAAGAGAGCATGAATACATCTATTTACATGTGAAGTATACTGAATGGTACATCTCAAGCTGATTTCCTCTCTGTCAATTGATCATTTTCTTCAAGGGTTCTAAAGATTTAGTAGGCACAGAGGATAACCATCTATAATTTACACTGAGAATAGAAGTTATTTTGTAGCAGCAGCTAGTGCTTTAAGTAACATTAACTGGAAGAAATTAAAGTTGAAAGTACTTCAAAAATGATCTGCTGGAAGTTCATTCCTCTTTCTGCACCAAGGTGGAACAGTATGATAAGTGTTCTTAAACACTGCTAAGAAAAGTTCTTGGGAAAGTGTAGCTGGATTTCAGAGCATTACAAACAATTCTCTGTGACTGTGAAGTCATCATAAACTGTGACTGTGAAGTCAACATCATCATTGTTATAAATCACTAATTACAACTTACCCCACTGTAACTGACATTTCTGAAGATCTAAGTAATCTAGTTCCCTTGACTATTTATATGTTCTTGAATGATGTTGAAGATGCTGGAGTACCTGATATAGACTTGGCAGATGTCAATATTTCAATAAACAGTTAGAGTACAGACTAAGATAGAGAGAAGAGTTACAGTGAAGATTCCATAGGGAATACTTAAACCACCTGAAGATGGAGGTCAGTAAAAAAAGATCTTCCAAGAAGATAAATGTCAATGACATCATATTAATTAGAAATCATAATAAAAAACATTATAACTGGCTACTTGCAAAAATGAGAGAGCTAACATAAGACACGATGGTAAAGTTAGAATTGTACATATCATGACAAGTGCTTGTTGCATGTCATGACAGGTGCATTAGGTGTATTGTTACAACCAATTCAAAGGGCCAGATGGCTACAGAAAAGGTAAAAGAACTTTGTGAGACTCTCCCAAAATGATTTGTGATATTGAGATTAAAATTTCTAAGAGACTGAACTTATAAAATTATTATCTGTAAAGAATTACAGCAATGCAATTTTAGTAGAACGTAGAATTCATATTTTAAGAATTAGTTTTGTTAAAATTTATGCTTCTTTAATTAAGTTCATCCATGTGAAACGATAACTTGTAATGAACCTGCATTTCAGTAAGTAAATTCATGCTTTTATTACTCTTATGCACAGTATTTTTTCTTGCCACATAACATACCTCAGTAGAATTTGTTTAGTGAAAATAAATGATCATAGTTTCCGTAAAGGCATTAGACACTGAACACATGGTGATCTAGTGGATACAGCTGATAATAACATATCGGTAGATTATCTTTAGCCTCTTTCTCTCTCTCATACTGAAAGACTTGTATTACTAACTACTGAATCTCAAATCCTTCAACTTCACAAGAAAAATAAACCCGTAGAAGCTTATTTTCACTGCTACAAAATTTAAATCTTTAGTGTATTTGCCATTTTTTAAATTTTAGAAGACAAATCTACACTATATACCAGGTAGTTATAATTAAACTTCCCCTATAAACGACATCCTATACCGCAAACTAGTGAACAGAATGCAATGAAATTTTGTATATGGGCTATACACGAGATGCGTTCATGGAACTTCAAAAAGAAAATTTTAATTCCAAAATGTCAACCAGAGGGCACCTTTTCAGGAAAAACACGAAATGTAACATAATAAACAATCAAAACGGAATACAGAAACAACATTAACATTTATTGACTAGTTTCTAATCATCTTGTCATCGAACCACATTAAGTAAAGGTAAGGAAGACACACAAATGAAATTTCACACGAGAAGCAGTTGTTAATCGTGCCCAGGAAGATGTAGGGAAAGATGCTCCCCGTGACCACCCTCATTCACCTGCAAAATTTCAATTCGATGGCCAGTGTGTTCAATGGCAGCTTGTAATTGATCAGTTGTGAGGCTAAGCACATGAAGCATTATGAAGTTCTTTAAGTTATTCAATGTTTTGCATGGAGTTAGATCCGGTGAACGTGGTGGCCCTGGATTAAGAAAGAAGGGACTAATAGCACGTTTTCTCTGTGAAGTGTTGGAGCAATAGCACCTTTACAGACCCATGGATATGTGGGGGTGCACCTTCCTGTATGAAAATGGTTGATGTAAGGACCTGACTTTGCTGTAGTTGCAGCACAACAATTGTCTGCAACATGTCATTGTACCAACGGCCCGTAATGGAACATGTAACAGGCCCATGTTCACCGATTTCCTCAAAGAAGAATAGCCCAAGGATGAATGTTGCATGAATCCATCCCAGACAATGACCCTTTGGAGACTGCAGAGGAATTTCAGTGTGGATCCACAGATTTTCCATAGCCCAAATGCTGCAATTCTGGGTGCTGACTGTCCCAATGCGGTAGAAATGAGCCTCGGCGCTCCACAGAATATTAGAAGGCCATGACAGATCAACAGTCATTCTGTTGAGAAAACTGACTGTGAATGAGAGATGTTGTGGGTTGCCCCTATCAAGCAGCTCCAGGGTATGGGAAGTAGTGCATTATGTTTCTGAATACTTTTTGGACAGTGCTGTAAGTATAGTCTGTCTGTTGAGAAACTGCATGCACGCTGTTGCCCCAAAACTCTGATGTCTGTGACTGTGCATCAACAGCTGTCTTAACGGAATCAACAAGCAGCAGTGTCACTCATTTTACGGCCTCTTCCAGGATGAACTCTTAATTTCCCCGTCTCTTAATCATGACCCAGATACCTTTAGCAGGCATTGGTCCATGTCGTAGGTTCTTCCTACGATGAAATTCACAAACTGCAGCAGAAGCATTCCCCTTGCTTTCGTAAAACAGCTTTATCAATAACACACATTCAACTAAAGAGACAGCCATTAGTACAGCCGAAACATCGACTTAAAGATCATAACATATGTAAATGTTTTATACCCTAGCCTGTTTTGCATAAAGCTGCCTCTTCTTTCCAAGCATGCAAACCTCGACATTTTTCCCTTACAACTGACAGCTTTTCTTGATTTTGCATTTTGTTACACATAATTCTTGTTCTGGATTGTTATATTGTTTCTGTATTTCGTTTTGGTCATTTATTGTGCTAAATTTTGTGTTTTTTCCTGAAATGGCACCCTCTGATGGACATTTCAGAACTTAATTTTTTTTTTCCGAAATTCCATGAGTGCATCTCGTGTATAGCCCTATAGCCCATATAGAAAATTTCGTTGCATTCCATCCATCCGTTTGCACTGTAGGATGCCATTTATAGGGAAAGTTTAACTATAACCACCCGGTACAAAGTGTTTTGTACTTTTCTTTCTTTCTTTCTTTCTTTCTTTTTTTTTTTTTTTTTTTTTTTTTGAAAAACAGGAAGGGACTAGGATATGTTCAAAACCTTTTTTATGAAAATTCATAGTAACTGCTTCATAGCTTTATGCATTTTTGACTTACAAAAGGCTTTGATTTATTGCCATAGAGGAAAAACCTACAATCACTAATAAGTGAAAAACACAGCATTAATATTAAAATACAAAACAGTACATAACCAGTTTAAATCTAAAATAAAACTATAAAAATAATTATATAATGCTGAAATTTAATTACTAAATTTCATTGAAAACTTACTTTATCTTTAAAACCTTCTAAAGGTACAGGTGTACCCCATTTTAAATCTCGAGTAATGCAGCGTGGTTTCAAACCATCTTTAAGCCATGAGTAAGATATTACCTGAGCAGTATTTGACCAATGCCCAGTAGAAGTAGCTTTATCCAAATGTTTCTTTATAGATGCTTCTAGCTATAAAAAATTATAACAATGATATTAATTACTACTGTATTTTAAAAAGATAAATGGTAAAAAAAAATATAAAAAGACACTTGAAATATTTTGATCAGTTCATACATCAGAATAATATGTACACAGTTTTGTAAATATTTCAGATACAATAAAACATACATCAGAATATGTGAGCAGTTTAATAAATATTTTCAGATACAGTGCAAAGTCCAAAATCTAGACATCCAATATCCAGAATGATCTAAAATCCAGACCACCAAAAACCCAACTACAGTCAAAAGTCATTAATTCGGACACCCATAATCCGGAATGATCTATAATCTGGACCTCAAAGCTACAAACTTTTTGCGCATGCGCGTAAGACCTTTACGGCTGCGAATGCGCACGCGTATAATAGTTTTACGCATTTCATTTATAACGAACGGTATAAGCTAAGCTAAAATTATCTAATTCAGTTAATGTTGCAGATTGCGTTGTTCCTTAATCTTCGAATTGGATCCGGCTTATTATTTTTTGCAGACTGTTAGAGCAATTTTATAAAAGTAAGCTTGAACTTTCAATTATGTCAAATAGAATTTCCGATATATATTTACTAATATGTAACGGATCTACAAAGCGAAAGTATGTTTCGAAGTCGGGGGGGGGGGACCGCGGCACGCAATGAATTGGAGGTTGATCTCTCAGCACTATCCTTATCTTCAGAGCAGATGTTTTTATTTTATTTGGCTTATAATTCCTTACTAAATGTAGTATTTCATCTCGATGTACTCCGTCTTTGATATGATTTAAACAAGTTCCTCGTCATTATAACTCGCTTCTGATAGTGAAGAAAGTGACAGAGGTTATTGAAAACGAAAAAATTTCGATTGACAAATTAGTCGGTATTTTCGACACAGCAATTATAGGACTTGAAAAGCGGAACTTTTTAACTGAACAAGAAATTATGTCTGTTTAATAGAATTAAAGAGAAAGTATTATCACATGAAACAAAGCAACTTAAACAACTTACATTGAAAGAAATGTTTAATAAAGTAAACAAATAAATATTAAGCTTTTTCTCTTTTTGTAAATTTTGGTACCCTTTAGATCATAATTGTTCTTTATTTCATAAATTATGGTTTCATATTTTTAATTTTGTAATTTCTGCATGCCATCCTACCAGATTTAAACTGATGATCTATAATCCGAAAAAATCGATATTCCGGGATCGCCAAAGTCCTGACGAGTCCGGATTAACGACTTTTGACTGTATCATTTTTTTAAAGGGAAATTTTTTGGCATGCTCTATGCATGCACATTTAATATTTTTTCATAATAAAATATGTGGACAGTTCCCATTCTTAATTTCACTTCGGCACTACATAAAATACCTCCATACTGATGAAAAAATTATTTATAAGCATAAATCCATACAATCAATGGCTCCATGTAGTTTTTTTTTTTTTTTTTTTTGCTTGGCATACATCTGAAATCAAAACAAATAACACTGATTTTATATTTATTGAATAATTTATATCCCTGATGGCAACCCAGCAAATCATTATTTATTATTTTTTGCTTTCATCAGTGAATGAATGTCAATACACAATAGTTTGAGGAATGACTCATGCAGCAGTTTTTAAACATTTCCTTTTCTTAAATATTAAAGACCTTGGTAGCTTTATGCTTTGTGAGATTAGAAACATCAGCTAACTGCACTGCACAGCGTTGAGTGTATTAACAAAGAAAAATTTAACGGAAATTTCTATCCATATGGAAAAAAATAGATTTTGCAAATAATAGAGCAAAAGATTACATTAACTGTAGCTTGAATTCAGAATAAATGATATGTTATTAGTGCAGAGCTGGTGTAAAGTATAGCATTGTTCATCTACATTCAAGTGTAATATTAATTTCCTTTTTAGTTTTTCTTGAGTGGCAACAGTTGTAAAATGTTATTAAGTTGGTAGAATAAACATGTTTGTTTGTGTTTAAATTTTAGAGATTATTTAGGTAGAAATCAATTGATGAATGGACAAAATGATATACATTTACTGTCATATCTAACATTTGGTGACCCTCAGTACATGATTAAATATAAAAGGTGAGTACTTTATCTAAGAAATAATTAATTGAATTTCGGTTTTCGTTTGCAATGGAGCATCTTGTTAAGAAGCGATCTCTGTTAAGAACATTGTTTACTAAGACATATAAAAGTCTCTGTTTGATGATGAAAATATAGAAATAAGTGATGTTAAGATTAAATTAGCTACTTTAGAACGCATTAGTGCTAGTTTAATGACTCTTGACAACGAAATTTTAGAACTTGCCTTAAGTGCAAATGATAATGGTAAAAATTATTCTGATGAATTTGAATCTGTAGAAGAATATAAAGTCAAATTTGATAAAGCTACAGTTTGCGTCAATTCTTTTATAGAAAGTAAATCACAGCCAAACAGGAATATATAAAGCAACAAGAAATCAAAAATAAAACTTCCCAAACTTGAACTAATGAAATTTAGTGGTGAAGTTAAAGAATGGTTATGTTTCTGGAGTCAGTTTAAACGAATTCACGATCATAAAGAAATGGAATTGGAAGACAAATTCCAATATTTAATACAATGTATGTCACCAGGTATAAGAGCGAAAGAAATTATCTATTGCTATTCACCTATGCCAGAAAATTATTCAAAAGCGATTGAAAGCCTCAAAGCAAGATTTGGCCATGGGGAATTCTTAATGGAATACTACGTTCGTGAACTATTAACTTTAGTTGTTAAAAATGCTACCAAATCAAGGCTTAGTATCACTCAATTATATGAGAAACTTGAATCCCACCTCAGATCTTTAGAATCCATTGGGATGACATCAGATAAATATTCTACAATGCTCTTTCCCCTTGTGGAGTCGTATATTCCAGAAGACGTGTTGAGAATTTGGTTAAGAAACTCAGTAAATGAAGAGAAATTGTATAGTGCAAGACTGAGCCAACTTTTAAATTTTCTAAGGGCTGAGGTCGAAGGGAAAGAAAGAATAACCTAAAGTCAGGTATGAAGCAAAGTGATCCCTATAGAAAAGTTCATATGGATAAGCATACCTATACCTACTGCAAGCCATTTGTTTTCAGGAGCAAAAGAAATAAATAACAATAATGTTGTAAATTGTATTTTCTGTGAAAAATCTCATCAAAGCAAAGATTGCTACAAAGCGCAAAATTTAAGTCATGATGAAAAATTTTAAATTATGAAAGAGAAAAAATGTCGCTTTACGTGTTTGAAAACAAACCATCGAGCTAAAAATTGTAAAAGTAAAGTTCTATGCACGTTTTGTGGTAGGAAGCATTACATAGTTTGTTATCCAGAATTTAAGCAGAAATCAAAAGTTCCTGTCGAGTGCAATCAAGAAAATTGTGAAATTAGCACTCTTTCTTCAACAGGCACTTCAGGAAGAGTTTTGCTTCAAACTTTAGTGGTTGCCATTCAGCATGAAGGAAAGAAACTTCATCTTTGAGCATTGATAGATGCTGGATCTGAATATTCCTATGTTTTAAAATCAACAGTAGAATCTTTAAGAATAAGATCAGAAGCTCATAAAAAATTAACACATGTTGTGTTTAGAGGAAGGATATCTGATATGAATCATAAATGTTATAAAATAAATGTTGAGAATCTGCTTACTGGTTATAGCTGCAAGATTCCTGTGTTAGATCAGCCTATAATTTGTGGATCTATACCTAGTCTACAGAAAGGACCTTGGATATCAGAATTAGCTGGAAAGGGAATTTATATCACAGGTGTTGATTATGTCAACCCACAGATTGATCTTGATAGGCTCAGACTTTGCAGGAAATATTTATACAGGAAAAATACAAAAATTAAGTATAGGCATTTTTGCCATGGAAACACTGCTCGGATGGGTTTTGATGGGCAACAACTGGAGGTGAAAATTCTATTTCTACTGTTGTTACCTCCCTTTTAATTCACAACCAAGATATCAGAAACCTTTGGGAATAAGATGCCATTGGCTGAATTGAAATCTAGAAGACAAATTGATAAGGTCGTAAACGATCATTTTATGGCAAATTTAAGAAAAGATGAGGAGGGAAGATATGAAGCGAAATTGCCATGGGTACATGACAAAAATCTTCCCGAGTATAGAAATGTAGCTGAAAGAAGACAAGAAAAAACAACAACTGAAAAATATCATGCATATAATAATGTGTTCGAGGAGTGGTTAAAGGAAGATATAATTGAAAAGGTACCACTTGAAGAACTATCTAAATCTAGTTGCTACTTGCCACTTAGAGGGATTTTCAAGGAAAATTCAACAACTAAGGTCAGACCAGTTTTCAACGCATCAAATAGAAAGAAAGGATTTCCTTCTCTTAATGATTGTCTTGAAAAAGGACCTAAAAACTTAGAATTAATACCATCATTGTTAGTAATATTTAGGGAAAAAGGAATAGGTGTTATATCCGACATAAAAAAGGCTTTCTTCCAGATAAGCATTGCCGAAGGAGATCGGGATTATCTTCGATTTCTGTGGTGGAAGGATAGTGAGTGTAAAGAAATTCAAGTTTTTAGGCAACGCAGAGTAGTTTTCAGAGTTACCTGCAGTCCGTTTATTCTTGGAGCAGTCATTCAGCAGCATCTGGAAAACTCATGCATAGAACGTAGAGAAATTGCAGAAAAGTTATTAAAATCGTTTTATGTTGATAACTGTGTTACTTCATTAGACACAGAAAGTGAAACTCGACATTTTATAGAAGTTGCTACACAATTAATGCAAAATGCTAAATTTGAACTGAGAGGTTGGGAGTTTACCAATTTTAATATATCATCTCCAGAACTAGAAATATCGCAAGTCTTAGGAGTGTTGTGGAATCGAAGAACTGACACTTTATCTTGTGAAGTTGATTTAAGAACTGAAGTGATGGAACCATTTACTCAAAGAAAGTTACTTTCTATTGCACAAAGAGTTTTTGATCCGATTGGGCTTTGTTGTCCTGTAACATTGTATCCCAAATTACTTCTTCAAGAAAACTGGAAATCAAAACTGGTTAAAATTCAAATATTATATTTTCATTGTTCTTCCAGATGTTCTCCGAAAAGTAGGAAATTCATCGCAAACTTTCTGTAAACTTTATGTTTACATCCATTACATGTTGATGCTATGGAGACATTTTTCATTTTGTCACATATTTCTCAAATCTTCTAGAATAGTGGGTCTATAAATCTTGCCTTCAAATTCTTCTAAACTTTCCAAGCTGCAATGTCTAAAATACTAAAGAAAAATTATCTGTACCAATTCTGTAACAGCAAAAAGCCAGAAATATTTTGGGAGGAAAAAAAAAAAAAAAAAAAAAAAAAAAAAAAAAAAGAGGGGAGAAAGTGTAAAATTCATTTTATAGAGAAGAGTGAAGCATATTCTGAGAGTTTTGAATATTCTGAGACAATTACATGGGAAAAACTCTTACTAGGAAAAACTAAAAAGACATTTTTAATTAATTGCATAGCTAATTTTGCTTTTGCTAAGAGCTATTTCGTAAATTGTGCTTTATAGCATTAAACCTTGTTTATTTAAAATATCCTATAAGTTGTTGACAAAATGAAACTTTATACTATGACAGCAAAAAATAAAAATGTTTTATTTTAATGTTATTTTTAAATACAATTTTAATATATTACCATTATTTTAATGAAATTTATCAATCTTACAATGTTTTAAAAAAAATCATCGAAAAATTCTCAGATTTCCGAATTAAAAATTTTCAATAGAAACTGATCTTAAAATCGCCAAAATGTTGTTAAGTCACCAAATTTAGAACCGTTTAATAAAAGAATTCACATCCCCAAAAGCAAAAAGTTGTTTAAGAGCTCTTTATTAGAAAAAATGAATTTCGAAATGCTTATGTTTCACTTCTTAGAAACTCGAGTATCCCATCATTTATATTAGAAATAGAAACACATTATAACCCATGAACCCATTCAAAAGATAACCATATACGTCAGTGAATCACCAAAAATATTCCTCCAAAATGCTAATTCACACTCAAATTGGCAGTTGTAGAAACAGACAGAAATTTCACATGATTAAAATTAAGGACATTCTGTTGGTTTTACCTAAATTAAGGACTTTTAAGGACCGAAAATCGATTCCAAAAAATCTAAGGACTTTTAAGGACTCTTAAGGATCGTACAAACCCTGAATTAATTTTTGTAAAAAGTTTTAACAAACACCTTCTTGGACTAAACAATCAGTTCCACATAAAGAAGTACTTTGAATATACTCAAGTAAAGGTCCAGATTTAGTGAAAAAGGTGTAATTTGTATTAATACAAAAAAGTTAATGAATTTGATGAGCTTCTAATCTGGATACTTTTGAATTATTAGATGATTATACATGACAGCATGCACACAGAAACATGTGAAAACATGTTAATCATAAAAATCTTTCTTTCTTTATAAATTTTTAAGTTTTTCTTTTAAAAGGCAAGAAATAAGTTTAATAGGTACCTTAGGAAGATCCAAGAAAAGATGCTTTGAAGAACGTAAATGAGGAGTAGTTCTACAGACTTTGCATTGTGGATTTTTTAAATCGGGGGCATTTATTAATTTACCACATTTATCACACTGATCACCTCTGGCATCTTCATAAGAACACAGAGGACAAGTCCCTTCTACAAACCTGTCTGCAAGAAACCTGTGAATATAAAATAAATCATTTACCTCAAAACTAATAAAATGAAACACACAATTATGTTTATAAAGAAGTCTGGTTTTTTAACCTAATTTTTTATTGAAATTTAATTTCATCACTGTAATTCCTAAAATGTATTCATTTAATAAATATAAATTATTTTGATTTGTCAAAATAAATATCACCACAGAAAAGAACTTAAATGTACAACTATAACTCATAAACAGCTTATTTTAGCATATCTGTAGCAACTTATTTTTGTCATTAGCACATGTTTTTGTTTACAATAGAAAACAACATTCTGATTGTCCTTCACTGTTGCTTTATGAATACACTTTAATTTTGAAGTCACACCCAAGATTATGAAAATTATAAACTATCTATATGTTTCATCTTATTTATTACAGTATAATATTGCATGGCCACTATTTCCTGTAGATGATCATTTACAGGAATTTACTGTTAGTCTATTTTTTTAACACAAAAAAAACATGAGCATCAACCATTATGTTGATAAAATAACCACTTCCACAGAAGAATAAATTTATTTCAAACTGTAATTGTCCACCTTAGATTTGACCCTTAGATTTTGCTCTATTTACATAAATGCAACATTTCTTCTTATCATTACTGAATAGAGATAGCTTTTTTTGCAACTTAGTTTGAAGTACATCAATAATCATTTAAACACCATTTTTTAAAAACAAAACAATAAGGATATCTTGTAACTGCACTTCTGCACTGCAATTTCAAGGTATCTTGTAACGTTTCAATCTTAGAACCATTTTATTCATCCTAGTGAATTCTACAGATTATAGCTCACATCTTTCTGAGTTTTGTTTACCTTTTTAATTTTTACATTAAATTTGCATAGGAATAACTAACTAAAATACATTCATCCTTTCAGAATTATTTAATCAAAAGTTAGTGAATGTGAAATTGTTATATTTAAAAAAATATGACTGCATACAAAGTAAATGATATTAGTACAAAGGCAAACACAAGGAAGAGGTGAAACAGAGAAATTTCTGAGGAAACGTAGATTAACTTTTGCAAAAAATCATTGAAAAATTTCATGTAAAAAAACTGTACATTCACCAATGAAGTAACTTTCAAATTTATTTGCATACTCTTAAATGAAAGAAAAATAAATTGATAAATACATACATTGTTTACAAAAACATTAACAATAAGGATCACTTAAACTGCAACCCTACACTAGTTCTGCCATTACGTTCAGCACAAGCACAGTTAGATCAATAGCATTATGAAAAGAATTGAATTCAAGATTTATTAAACGAAAGGTTCTCTGTTCTTTAGTAATTTTCCTCTGTGATGTTTTCCATTTTCAATATTAGAGAAATCTTCACAAGTTATATTTTCAAGAATCAACCTCATTCTCCATTAAGCAAACATACTTGGTCTCTGTGCAGAACGTACACAAATAAATTATGAAGTGCATCTGTCTTACAGTTGCAGACAAATAAATTTCTTTACATATGCAGGACAATTCCAGAATTAATTAACCACATAATTTTAAAATTAAAAAGTAGTAGTAGACACACCCAAAATTAGGGACTTAGCACTGATTCAGAACCATTTTTACTGAAAAAAGCAAGTGCTCACACAGATATAAAAAATGTTAAATAACTTCATAAAAAATAAATCTACTCTTTCAATTAAAATATGTTTAATAATGCATTTTTGTTAAATTTAATTTTACATAAATAAAAAAAAAAATGTCACACTTGCCTTGATGAATTTTTTGAAAATCCAAACATGTTTGTTTACATTAAAAATTAAGCATGGATTAAGTGGTCATTGATTGGAATTCTGCTCTATTAATTAAAATATATTAACCGACAAATTACATTTAAAAAATACAATATTTTGGAATAAAACTTTAACTAATATATGTACACAATGGAAATGAAACACTTGAAAAGACTAAAAACACCCAACTTTGCATACTTTAATACATTTAAAAATTTCTATTACTTACTAAATTTTGTTTATTAATACATTAAAATATTAATTAATCATGAATTAACAAAATATAATTTCAGCAGATGATTAATACAAAATGACTAAACCTATAACATTGAATATTATGCTCTTTTTGTATTGCATACAACAGGAAAATTATTTGTTTAAACTTGTACAAAAGGTTTATTGGCATAAATACTTTAAAAATTAAAAATATATGAAAAATTTTTAATATTTTATTCTGCTTCAAAAAATGTTAAATTCCTCCATGCATGAAAAGTAGAAATGATAAAAAGGCTTGATAAAGTAAGTAGGAAAAAAGATTGCCAATTTCTTTTAAAAATTATGTTTTAAGTTCCAAATATGAAGAAAAATTAAAATAATTTCAAGTATTTCAAAATTTTTCATATTTTTGAAATCTCTTCCAAGTTCTCATGCAACATAAAAGCTTTTTATTTTCCAGATATTTGAAAGACTAAAGATTATAACAAATTTTAACATATCTTTTGACACAGTATTTTTTTTTTTTTTTAATGTGTGTATAGTTCCTTTTATAAGTTGGAAAAAAAAAATTAATCAGTTTAAAATTTTTATATTCATCTAAAATAAGAATATTTTGTTATGAACTTTTCAAAGAATCTTCAATCATATATCAATCCCCCCATTTCCTTCATTAATAAAATTAATGCTAGCAATAAACAGTAAATTAAAGTGATGTCTTTAATACACAAGCGATATCATTAATGCAAAAAATGTGACTAGTAATTTTTTTCTATTAACACATTTTTTTAACACATATTCAGTTGCACTACTTTGTTACGACCAAATACAGAGGGATATAGCTATTTTTGCTCTATAAGATTTCTTATGCAGACATGAAAATTACATATCCATTTCATATAACTGATTTATACAACTAGTTCTTTTTTATTCTTATTTCCTAGAAATTCAGAATTCTACAAAACTCTAATCTAGCACATTAGAATGAGATTTTTATTCCATCTTATAAAGCATTTTTAATGTTACGACTTTGATTCATTTCTGTACGGATAATATTAAATTGATTCATATGTGATGTTTGATCATCAAAAATCCATCTTTGACCACTCAAAATTCATACTAACAACTAAGGTTCACCACTGTATTAGATACACACTGAAATAAATTCAGTTTTCTTCTATGTACATATTTCCAGATCAGCTAAAAAAGGACATTTTTTTCTTTTGCTTCCCATATATAAAACAGATAGGAAAAACAGCTTATTTAGAAACATAAAAATATAATTATGATTAATTTACAGAAATTATATATATTGCATACCGTTTACATGATTCGCAATATAGCTGCTCAACAGTATCAGTAAGTAATAAGTTTTGTGAGTGTAACTTTTTGAAAATATCCTGTGCAATCCTAAAAATAAAATAAATATTCAATAAATTCTGCAATAAAATAAAAATTTAAACTGTATATAAAATTAGAGCTTAGAATCTCATTATTCTAAAAGATTTAAAATGTTGTAACTCTAAAAGATAAAAGTTCATACTCTGTTTGCTTATTTGTAGTTGTCCTTCCAAAATAATCAAATGAGATATTAAACCAGTCATAAATTTCAGAATGTAATTTATTGTATTCATCACATATTTCTCTTGGTGTGACTCCTTTTTCAATAGCTTTGGTTTCAGTAGCAGTGCCATATTCATCTGTTCCACAAATGTACAGTGTATTATAGCCTCTTAGTCTGCAATACCTATAAAATATTTTAGCTTTAGCATAAATAAACCTACATATGCACAAACATAATCAAGGAACAATAAATTTAACATTTTATAAAGAATAGCTGATTTGGCATGTTTCCTTTTCTTTACTGCTAACCAGCATCAAATTTCCCAAAACTAAAAACTCAATGCATATAAATGGCATTAATTTACCAACTTCAATTATTAAATTAAATGTTTCAGGAATAATTTAACATCAAATTTCTGCAGCAAAAACTCTGCATCTATATATTTATTACATACTTTTTCAACTTGCAAATAACTGATAAAATATGAAATATTACATAAAGTAAAACGAACCAGTTCAAAAATGATAGCCAGACCTTTTAAAATGAATAAAAAGTGAGGGAAAAAAAAAAAAAAAAAAACTACCTCGCAAAAACATCAGCACTCAGAACAGAACCAATGATATTTCCTAAATGTGGGACATTGTTAACATATGGCAAAGCACTTGTTATAAGCACATTTCTTTCACCTTCCTTTGGTAATCTAAACATAAGATAGTGAAAATTAAGATAATATAAAAAAAAGAATTATTTATCAAAATGTTTAAACAATTCAAAATAATTATTAATTTCATAAATTTTATTGAATACTTAAAATTTTAATCATTTTAATGAAATATGCAAAATAAATTAGCCATTGTGAAATAAAAAATGGATTTTTTCCCACAACATTTAAATAGTTCTCTAACAATTGAAACAATAGTATCAGATACAGTGGGTTACATTTGTTTTTGCACATCTGCCTTTTTCCTTTTATTTGCAAATATCAGTTACTGAATATTAAAAAAATGACTTTTCCCCATAAATACTGCTAATGCTCCTTTTTAAAGCCTGCTTGTTAGGAAAAACATTATTCAAAAAGCTTTTGATTTTAAAAAAAAGTTTATTCAAAACGTTCTGAAAATTTAAATATTTGGGCACTTTGAACAAACAGCTTATATTTAAGGCACTTTGAACAAACAGCTTATATTTAATAAAAACATCAAAATAACCAGAAAACTTGTTTTATATCCTTTAGCTAAAATCACAATTGTTTCATGTACATTCTTACATCATGCCAAAGCATGGCGTAAGAATGTTCTATTCCAAAGTAAGAACTGCTTTTAGAAGAGCTGTCAAAAAATAAAAAAACAGCCTATTTCCTCAGTATTTTCTCCAATTTGTTCCATAAAACTGGCCGACACTGAAAATGCAACACCAAGAAGTGGCCCGAAAATTATGCAAATTTCAAGGTACACACCTATCACCGAGTTATGCAAATGATGCAAAATGTGCAGCTCTCCAGCGCATGTTGAAAAAGATATCATAGGAAAATTGTTCTTGTGCCAAAGGATGTGCGTAATAGCAGAGAATGCCAGGCCATCATCAACAGAGTGAAAGTTCAAGCAGATAGCTGATTTTCTGAGGTGTATGGTGATCAGACTGAGAAGGGCAGGTTTGTCATATGGCATATATCTCAGCTGACATACACCTGGAAACATCCACAGTGCACCAGCTGTGGTGATGATGGTTGGAATGGGAGTATTTATGGGAAATGTGGCAAGTTCAAAAGGTGCTGGTGCAGCCAGAGTGACGTCAGCATACATGGATCGACGCATCCACCAACAAGCGGTGGCACACCTGCAAGCAACTTCTACCCCTATTCTGCAGCATGTTAAGACACCCTAAATGTCCCTATATTGATCAGAACCATTGATGGCTAATGGCATCCATTAAGAAGACTGCAATTGACCCCACATCATAGACACCAACGTCTACAATGGTACCGGGTTTGAGCGATGTGGGCGACAGAATGGCACAGGGTGGGTTCTCAGATAAGTCATGATTCTGTTTCTCCAATGATAGTTGCTGCATACAAATGTAGTGTCGATGTGGAGACAGATCTAATCTGGCAGCAATTGTGGAACACTGCACGACAACATGGTTTGGGGCGCAATTGCGTATGATTCCAAGTCACCTCTATTTCATATTCAGGACATTATGATGGCCCAATGATCCATGGCTGATATGCTGCGGCTGGTGACACTCCCTTACTTCTAGGGAGTGCCTAATGTTCTTTACCAGCAAGATAACACCTAACCACACACTGCTTGCATCAGTAAATGTGTTCTGCAATGTTCTCTGGACATCGTTCTCTCCTGATCTCTTATCTATCGAACACATTTGGGTTGTGATTGGACACCATTTGCAGACCCTGCCATTGGCATGTTCAGAAGACAAACTCTGGCAGATGGTTGACAAGGAATGGAGAACAATTCTTTGGGACATCATCTGTAGCCTCACTCACTCTGTACCTAGACGTGTTACTTTGTGTATTGCCATCCATGGTGGTCCTACAACCTACTGAGCTGATGCTATTCTCGCTCTGTATTATGCATATCATTTTGAAATAAAGATCACTTATTGTTCGTTGCTGTCTCTCTCCATTTGCCAAGTTTCATCACTTTCTGGCCACGCCTTCCTGGTGTTGCATTTTCAATGTTGGGTAGTGTGCGTTTGATAGGATTTAAGTCAGGAGACTATGGAAGAGTTTTAATAACTTCAGAACACTTAATAACCACAAGCAAGCATTTAAGATTGTATGTTTAAGACTGTTATCCTCACAGAACTTGAATATAATTTGTATTCCAAGTTTCCTTACAGATGCTTTCAAATTTTCATTAAGAATATTCATATACTTACATACTGATCTATATTATTTTCTATAAAAAGCTAATTCTCCCATCCCAGAGGCAGCAACACATCCCTAAACCATTATGCTTCGACCTTCAAGTTTAACAGTAGGCAATAAGTTTTCAGATTCCAATCTTCATTTGACTTTTGCTGTACAGTAATTCATATAATATTTCTTTCATATAAATTAAATGAAAATGAGCTTGAGCAATGCCAAGATTTGAAAAAAAAAATTGTAAATATTAAACATTTTAAAGCAAGGGAGAGAATATGAGCAAAGAAAACCAATTGTTTAAGATGAAAAAATGTCATTAAACAACTTGAAGTTCTAAAATAACATTTGACTTAAAACTGCAGTAATGTCAGAAAGAGCAATTCATTACAGATTCAAATTTTTTGGATTTAAGAAAGAAATTATTGAAAACTTTCATTTATAAATTTAATAAAGAAAAATTATTTCAGTTGCTTTGAATAACATACTTTTTATTTTGTATTACATAAAACATTAGCTTTAGTAATCTAAAATATTACACTCAATCACATTTCAGCAAAGAATTAAAATTTCAAATGATTAACCCCCCCATTTTTTTTTTTTTTTTTTTTTTTTTTTTTGCTCATTACAAAACTAAAATTGGAAAAGCATAATAAAATATTAAAAAAGTTATGATGCACATTTTAGAAATTAAAAGATGAAAAAAAAAAAATAGTGATTCAAAATTTTACCACTTATAAACTTAGACAAAATGACAATTCTATAGCAATAATCAGCATAAATTATTTTAAAAAGGTTACATGTCCAAATAATATCATAAAAACCTAGATCTCAAATAAAGTCTTTGAAAACACTTTTATCTATGTATGAAGAATAATTTTAAATCAGCTAATTTTTGATGACATATATCAATAGTTACAATGGTGCTCATAATTTAGTGGTCAGTTTTTAAAGTCTTTAAGGAGCCAATCTTTCTCATTTTAGATAGATTTAAGTTTAATTTCTGATCAAGAATCTGTACCCTTATACCGATATCCCATAAAACAGTTTTTCCAGTTTCCCATTTTTATCATATTAATTGTTTTAGAATTCAACTAATTACCTACTCTTACTTACAATATATGATAATCATTTCTCTAATACAGCTCTACCTATGAAAGTGACTATTATTTCTGAGAACATAAATAATGATACTGAACATCACCAATAGTCATGTTTTTTAACATGGCCAGAAATTCCAAATCATCTAGAGCTGTCAGTAGTCAACATAAAGGTTTTGAAATATGTATGTATAATAATTATATTTCATTAAAATTACTGACACACTAAAAACATTATTGGGCATTTAGAAACTTCATAAAGAAAAGACAACTGGAAACCATTTTGATTACTTAAATATTACACAGTATTCAACCCAATACATCACCAATAATATCACCCAATTCTACTTTTCTATAAGCACTGCTATATGTAGAAGCTGGTTTAATTTCTTCAAGAAAGATGCAATTTCCCCTCCCACAAGTGAATGGTAGTTTCTTTTATTTATTTATTTATTTCAATGCTAATTTCAAACCAATTAAAGCAAGCACATAGCTCCATTGCTGCATTTTTGGTAGCCTTTCGCAATGGTTAAGTTCTTGAAACTATAGATGAACACCTCATGCTAATTTTTCAGGCATTTTGTGTCAAGGGTTCACAGAATTTACCAAGAAATGAAGCAGAGAAAATCCATTATTTCTAGGCATGTAATAAGTTGCCAAAATATTAAGAGCGCTCCAATTTTTCTGCAGTGAAATTATACATGACGAAAGATATACATTGGAAATGTGTGTTGAAAAAAACTGAATAAAGTGTTAAATAAGAACTGGGAATTCAAAAGAAGTCACTTGCTATTTTTCATTTAGCAGAGTCCATATGAAAGAAAAGATAACACTGCAGAACAACAATCTGGTGTGATTTGGATGATATTTCCAAATAATGCTAGCGAGAAATAGAAAAAACTGTTTAATCATTGAGATCGAAAACATATTTCATTGTCAAAAGAAACCAGTCCGTCCTAGGTGGTGTTTTGACAGGTACCAGCTAAAACTTAGGTATCTATATTTTATTTCCCTTATAATAGTAACTAATTTAATTTTGCAAACAATTTTTACTACTGACAAAATTTTGGAATATCTCACTGTATTACAGTATGTTTAGAGAAGTTGCTGTGAAGAAGTCCTGGGGTTTCCCACCGAAGACTCTAGTTCTATATAAGCACTTACCTAGAAGCTTAGGATGTGACAAATTTTCAGTTTCAAAACTAATGAAAATAAGTTTGAGCAATGCCATAAATATTTGCAAAAACATATTTATTGTGTGTGTCTGACAGCCTCACCAATGTGTCAATTATGTGGCTTCACTGATGTGACTGGCAACTATCTCTATAGCTGTCCTTACCTTAAAATAATTCATCCAACTTTCCAGGAACTAATTCTACAAGAAGTTTTTAACTTTCATTTACTTCAAGACTTTTCTGGTCAACCCAACAGAGGCTATTGGCTGAAAATTTGAGGTCCAGCTTAAGATTAAAAGAAAAAACAGTTACAGCATATTTTAAAGAAAAATTTCTCCCTGCAGCAGAGCTTCCATGATAAAAACTAATGTAGCCTTAACAATTTTTTGGTATATCTAACTTTTGTTATACTTAATTCTAAACTATAACTGTCCATTAAATTGCATAAAATACATAACACAATGTTTTATTAATTTCTTACCAAATAAATAGTTATTTCAAGACTACAGATGTAAATCAATTTGGATAATCAAACCGAAATACGCTATTTATTTAATGACTGTCAAATTCACTAGATCCCAATTACAATCTTGCCATCATTATAAAATAATGATAAACATATCAACTATAACATTAGTGGAAGGATTCATATTTTTTTATTTACATATAACTACCAAAACTTATTACAAAAGTAAAATCTTACATTGGCACTTCTTTTTTAATGGAAAGTAGTATACTTCTTCCTTTAAGCCATTTCTCATATGCAACAGTAATTTCCTCAGATGTTACTTCTGGTTCTTTGACAGACTAGGGGAAAAAATGTAGATATCAAACACTTATCCTAATGCACAATCATAACTTTATTTTAGAAAAGTATGTATTATTAAAAATTAATTTTAAATTTTGGTTCCTATTATGAAAACCTTATGAATAGCCAAATGTCTTATGCACACACATATCATAATATTTTTTAACAAATGTTTCTTACTTCTTCATTTTCTTTAGAGGCAACTTCTGCAATAGTCAGAGTTTCTAATGAAATTCCAGGTACATCAATAGGCATAAAACTGTGTGGCTGAACATAGTGAATAGGCTGGACAGCTAATTTTTTCTGTATTTAAAAAAAAAAAAAAAAAAAAAAAAGCACGTTAAGCTAGCAAAAATTAATTTAATAACTAAAATCATATTTATACATTTTACACCTTAGCAGCTAAACTAGAAATTAATAAACCATAAACAACAGCATTTTCATAAATCTACTGTGCTGTTTATAGAAACTACCTTTCATTTAGATTTTATGATAAATATTCTCTTTTTATGCTTCAGAATTCAAACAAATTGTTCTGTACATGTTAACAGAACAACAAAAACAGAAAATATAAATCACTTTTTACTAATATTTAAGTTATCACAAGTCATTACACCATAAACACTGGTAACCTAGTCATAGGATAATGGTATAATTATTAAATATTCTTTCATACCTTTGGCAAACAAAATTCCACAAGCTAAAAGACTCACAAAGCTCAGAGTGGTTCATATTTAGCAGTAGATGTTTTCTCAATGTTATAAAATAGCCAGAAATGTTTGAAGAAACAACAATTTGTGCATTAAGTAGTTTACATGAAGGAAAACAAAGATAACAACTAATTCCTGCAGATCAAAAGAAAAGGAAATTATAATTTTACAAGGCAATCAGCATTGATACTGGCCCACAAAGCATTACTTAATTTCAACCTGCATAGTTAAGACTAATTAGTTATTGTGTATTATTCAGCATCCACTGATAGATTGCCAAAAATGCTACCTGTCTCTGGTGCCTTTAAATGTTCAGCAATCCTACATGCCTTTCCAAATTCTTCTAGAATGATCTGATTTTATATTTTTCTTTCTTGTTAATACTCTCTCTTAGGAGGCCTAAGGAAGGGGAGAATGGCCATTTTTTCTTTATATCAATATCAATTTGAGTTACAGAAAGCAAATATCTGCATTGTTTTTTTTTGGGGGGGGGGATAACCCTTTTCCCATGAAAAGTTACGTGGAAGTTTAATAGACCATGGATTTACTAGATTTGCTGAGACTTATAGCAGAAGCAATCCTTATTTTCCAGCAAGATATTTTAAGAAAAAATAACAAGTGTTCTAAATCTCATGTAATAAAATCATGCATGATAAAGAAAAGAAATATAATGTCAACTATAGTCAATAAAATTGTTAAAATAAGAACACCAAATTAGTTCAAGGAAAGCCATTTTCTCATTTATAACAGTTCATGTGAAAGCAGAAAGTTATTAGTTAGTTAAGGAGATTGAAAATTCTCTGTGTGACATATGACTGGGTCATCCCCAACAGAGACAAGTTATTGCAGAGTAACAGTCGGATGATTTGACTGCCAAAAAATTCCTACCAGAAATCAAATCTCTTTAATTGGGCTGCTGACATAAAGATATATTTCATCACCAAAAAAAAAAAAAAAAAAAAAAAAAAAAAAAAGCAGCAATGGATAGCTGGCAGTATATTGGATAAAACTAGCTAATATCCAAGTACTGACTAAATCAATTATAGACAGAGTTCATAATGAAGTCATGCTTTTCGTTACTATATTTACAGTATAAAGTTCAAGATTCAGCTTTGGCGTTTCCAAATTTTAGATCATCACTTTAAATCTAGTAAGGTGACATGCAACCATGGCAACAGTGAAGCTTCACTTATTGTTTAGGTCAGATAGAAAAATGCTAACCTCCTCACAACCACTCAAGGGCTGATAATATGATCCTGACAATAGTACAGAGTCCAAAATCTGTGATCCAAAACTCAGACCTCAAGACCACCAGCAACCATTAAAAAAAAAAAAAAAAAAAAAATTAATGCTTTAAGTTTGCATACTGGATATTTTTTTCCTAATAAAACATGATAACATGTGTAGAGTACTGATTCTTAATTTAACTTAATTAAACTAATTAAATAATTGGCAACCTAGTAAATCATTATTTGAAAAATCAAGCTGGCAAAATAATTTTTTGCTTTCATCACTGCATGACTTTCAACACACTGCAGCTTGAAAAATCACTCACACAGCGATGTCTAAGCAATTTTTGTTTATTTTTAAAAACTTTTACTACCAGAAATTGAATACTAAAGAGCATAGTAAACTTTTTTGCTGACATTATGCTTGGTGATGACTACAGACTTCAGATAAACTCAGCTGCGAAGTGGAGAATGTTGACGAGGAAAATTTTAACAGAAATTTCTTTCCATGTGCAAAAAACAGATTTTGTAAATGATACTCATGGAGATAACATTTCATGCTGTTTCAATTGAGAATAATTGATTTTTATTAAATTAAGCCCAAGACCTGTGCAAGTACTGGTGTGGCTACACAAGGCACAGAATTCAGGAGAAGCAAATTTTTAGAATTTAAAGAAGCACCGAGCAACAAAATTAAAGCATGGCAAAATTTTTGGAATTTAGAGAGGTGCATGGCAACAGAATTTCAGACCTGCAGAGACTGCACTGAACACAAAATGTTTAGTGCCAGTCCTGGATAAGCCTTAAGTATATGCAAAATCTATTTTTTTTTTAAGATTCCGTCTCAAGCGTGTAGGACAAGTAGTTGTTAAGTGCAATAAATAACTAAATTAATATAATTCAAGATAAGTTGCATCAGCATGTGATAGAAACAAGGCAAAATTGAGTAGAACTACATCCCAAGTTGCCATTTTTATGATACATTGCTAATAATCTGTAGCAGACACTAGCTATGCTTTATGATAGTAGCTGAGAATTTGAAGGTTTTTAGATATCACAAACAAAAAGAAAAATTTTCCAATTAATGTAATTTATAGAGAAGTGCTAATAAATGAAGATGATATAACAGAATAAATGAAGATGATATAACTTTCACTGCAATGAAAATCCAATCATCAATCAACTAATGGACAACGAAATCTGCAGTATCATTCTAAACTAAAAAAATATGGCTACAGATAGTGAAGAAAGTGACAGAGAGATCATTGGGAACGAAAAAATTTCTACTGACAATTTAGTGGGAATTCTCGATGTGGCAATTAAAATAACTTAAGCAACGGAACTTTGTAACTGAACAAGAAATTATACCTATCTATAGAAGTAAAGAGAAAGCATCAGCACACACCCACACACAAAAAAAGGCAAATTAAACAACTTACATTCAAAGAAATACTTAATAAAGCAAACAAATAAGTATTTAGACTTTGGGGGGGGGATTTTTATTCCCTTAATGTCATAAATACTTCACAATTTCCTATTTTTAATTTTATGATTTCTATATGTCATCTTTCTAGATTAAACTTATGATGTAATTTCCACAAAAATCCCAAATCTGGTATCACCAAGTCCCGATAAGACTGGATCTTGGACTTTGCACTGTAACAAAATTATGTCAATCAGTTCAATGTCATTTGTCACAGAGCAGCTCCTTAGCCAGCAGGTGATTGAAAGTGACATCCAGAGTATCCTACACTAAGAGAGCAGGGAGGGAATTTTTTTTTCGCTATTTTAGTTTTATTTATATATTTATTTACATAATGGATTGTGATCAGGAGGTCTGGTTATTAGATCATTCCAGATATTTTTTAACTTTAAATTGCATAGATATGCAGTGGCAAGCACATTGAACAGCAGCACTACAGGTCTGGAGTTTAATCCCCAGGCTGGGCAAGGTGATTCAGCCTTTCATCTCTTGAGTGGGTTGGTAAAATGAATATTAAGTTCACTTGGGACTAAACAGCAGGGATCCTACAACAAACTGACCACCTATCCAGGGTATATACTCATGCACCCCAAATACCCACAGTCAAGAAAGAACTGCAGGCCATGACTCACTAAGAGCTGTTCCGCCATTAAGTTTTTTTTGTTTTACATTGCATAGATGTTCTTTAATATAAATTGAGATTATATTAACAAGTTTAATTAAACATTAATTATATATATATATATATATAATAATCAATATAAAAATAGCATATTATACACCTAACTAAACATATTATGTCCTATCTCAAACATACTCCATGATTTTGTCATGGTCAGACAAAATCATTTAACATAAAAATAGCATTTTTTATAATAAAAAGAAATTTCATTCGTTAATTAGTGAGATTGAAGAATAGCTAGTAGCAGGCACCACAATATTCAATGTTTATTGAGGTTTAGCAGATGTAGCAATATTCTAAGAGATTTCAAATTTCGACTGCAAATTACAAACATGTATTTTGCTTTCAGTATTATGGTCCATATGTATAGTATATTTCCTTTTATACTATGCATTAGCATAAAAATTAAAATTCATAATGCCAAGCACAGTTTTGGAAAGTACAACTATCTAAGTTTAGGTGCACAACATTAGATATGGTCCTAAGATTTTCAAATTATAGGCAGAAAAGAAACTTAGTTTGATGTAAATTTTTGCATAAAGCTCTGTAGATTTCAAGAACGATCAAACAGTTACCTCTTCTTCATGTGCGTTTCACCCCCCCAAAAAAAAAATGAAGAGAGCAACAACAGTTTTTAAACATCAAAACAATGGGCGGAGCAAAGTGAACATGAGTAGATAACCATAAAAAGTTTAAAAAAAAAAAAAAAAATTCATCAACTGATGATGACTCATTACTAATTTTTTCAGAATCAAAATTAAAATAGTAATTAAGTGTCTAATTATAGTTATTAAGTGTCAATTATGATCAGCCATCAAAGATTTGCTTATTTCTCCTTTTTGAACATAATATTTGTGTTTCTTGACACACAATTTTAACTCTCTGTTAGTCTGACCATTGCATAACAAACCATACTGAGAAGATACGCTATAAATTCTCAAAGAATATATATCAGATCTTTAAGACCAGAATAATACATTTTATTGATAGAGGACAAATGGCCTAAATATTGAACGTCTGAAGAATATGAGCAATTTATTAATTGAGAGAAAAATATAATGGAATAACAACAAAGTTATGCTTATTTCTAATAGTGGAATTCTCCTCTTTTTTTTAACCTTTTGAAGACTGCAGGCCATTATAGTGGCCATAGAGTCCTCTGTTTGAAATGATGGGGATGTCCACTTTAGTGGCCGTCTTTTTCCCCCATTTTCCAGGCTGAAAAAGTGGGGTGAAATGTCAAATTTGATGTCCCTGGAGTTTTAACCACTTATCTCTTTCAAAGGCCTTTATGTTAAGAATCGGGTTTTTCCCAATTTTTCCCTTTTAATTCTTGTAACTACATAGCTACAGAATTTGTGATGACTGTGTTTGCAAATTGTAAACAGAGCCTTGCATTGCTTCAGAATATTGCATATTTTCGTAAGTTTTTTAGGAATTATTTTGACATTTTTCTAGCAATATGTCAAAAAGGAGGAAAAGTGGTCTGACTGAAGAAGAAATACGAAAACTTCTTCAAGAGCTATATGATGAAATATATACACATACATATATCCGTATGTTTATACATGTATGCATAAATCCACACGCAAACACATATATATAAATGCATATGTGTGCCTGTGTGTGTACATGTACGTGTCTGTATATATGTTATTCCCATTCAAAGTTACGCATGCTTTCCACTTTATGTGCATACTTGCACTTATATACCATATTATATCAATGCAGACATATATACTACATGGATATGTAGGTATACATTTCTATAAATAAATATAAATTCCCACATACTTGTATACATGTACAAGCAGTTTTTCTTACATTCTTATCAGTTCTGTCTGTCTTTACTTCTATATACATATCTGTTTATGCTGAAGTGACCTTCACACATGGAAGTTTACTGTGATGGTACGGTTATTCAAACAAATCACCAGAACATAAATATAAATTTTGTGTCAAAGAAACAACAGTAGTTTCACAATTTCAGTCTGAAACCTGGAAATCGTAAATACACTAAAACTAGTCAATCAGTTTGAAAGGTCATCTCTAGCCATTAGATTCCACATGTACTGTTATTTTAAAAGGTACCTCTGTATCAATGTCTCGATTTCACGGTCAAATAATTTTGAAGTAAAATGTCCAGAATGGATTAGAGTAGCATTTGTGAAATTTCACTGTCCATTGAGATCCGAGAATACAAGATGTAAAAGCTCTCAAATAATATACAAATCATTGTTCTAAGACAACACATGTTCCCCATCTGAACTTCTGAACCTTGACCTTTTAAGTAATTGAATGCCTTTGTCATTCATTAGACATATATCTCAGCAACTACGTTCAAGGACAAATTCCTAGGGGCATACTTTGGGCACTCAGTTATGAAATAGTTTCAATATGACAGCATGAGTTAATGGTTTTAATGAGGTCTAATGAAACCAATGAATAGCTGCCAAATTTTCAATAAAAAAGAGAAAAACAGTTAATTCAACTATGTCAGTATAGATTTTGCATGACCTGACAATGAAGTTTTTTGAGTAACTGCAAGTAAAGTTACTCGGAAATATATCGTACAATTTAAATTCCACCATATAAAATATGCCGCCATGGTTGATGTCAAAGCTGCTACAAAGACAGTCTGGAGTTGAAGTGACCTGGTTTAAACAATAGAGGAAATAGAAAATTCACAGGCAATGACAATTTCAAACAGGAGAGAATTTTGCTGACCTGGCACCTGAAATTATCTGGAAATTTTTCTTAATGTGCTAAATTACGTAGCATAATATAGAATAACATAATACAGTATTGAAGACAGCAATTAATTATCGTGTAACTTTTGTCCCACAGTTTTTGCAAACACTATGCATAACAAACAATTTTCTCTTCAATTTGAAAAACTCTTTGCGCTAAGAAATTACCTAAATTTTGATAACCGAATGAACACGTTCCCTTAGTGAGGCTGGGACTTTAGTTTTAGACAAATGGAAAAAAAAGACAAATGGAATTTAGGTTTTGAATTATGGGCTTGCATACTAAATAATTTGACATTTTTAATGACTTAAATTCATTCTATTATTAACACTTGAAATATATTACTTACTAATTTTCAATAAACAGTATAAAATAGTACATGATTAAATAATCTTTTTTTTTTTTTTTTTTTTTTTTTCAAATTTTTAAAACTAAAATATTCTAAAAAAACAGTTTTTGAACATATGTTTTATTATGCATTAATTTTGGAAAAGAACTGAATTTTAATTAGTAGCACTTATGTAGTTGGACATTGCAGTACCGTACCATCACAGTAAACTTCTATAATAAAATACAAATATTTTTAATTAAATCAGTTATATTCTAATTTTCTGAAAGTTTCCTCCTTAAATAGTATGTTATCAAGCAGATTTTGAACAATTATGTAAAATTAAAATTTCATACGTCTATAGAGCATAATTTTAACAGTTCCACTGAACTTTATTTTTAATCATTTCTATAGCTTTAAGTGCTTATTTTTGAATTATTCCCTGTATGGAAGAAAGTTCAAAGATATAACTATATTTGATAATATATACCAAAACAAATTCAAAATTATAAGGACATTTAACAGTTAAAAAAAAAAAAAAAAAAAAGACTGAGATGAAGACTGGTTAAATTTTAAATTGTCCAAGGAAATAAACAAATAGGTGAAATATTTTTTTGAAATAACATTAGTATAAAGATATGATAGAAATAATTATTGTAAGTAAAGACACATTGTTTAGCAGTGTAATTTGAAATTCAAACCAAAATTTTATAAAAATGAAAGTAACATCCTATAATATAAAGAATGGCATTTTCTTCAACGGAGATTTACACATTTCCCAGTAGTCTCAATCCGGAACAACTGTAATATGAAATTTTTCCTCAGTGACTAAAGGCATCTTGAAGTCTGGTGACTAATCCCTACACTTCCCTTCCTTTTGCGACATAGATGCACCCCTCTGAGAATCCATTAAACTACACACAAGAATTCTTGTTGCAAATAGGAGGTGATTTCTTAAAGAGGGGAAAGCATTCGGTTCAAGATTCCCCATCCTTTCAAGGCTTTTACTGCTACCAAAGCCCCGGTCTCAAAAAGTTAATAGCAGTACAAAAATTTTTCAAGGGTTTATCGATGACTGTTGCAGAAAATTCTCTGTCAATAGCAATCAAGTTAAAATAACTGAGTTCATGCATAAACAAAGATGCCTATGAATAAATTTTAAGAGCACAGTATAAAAAATATAAGTCATTTTTTTATTTTAACAAGATGTCATGATTTAGCATAGGAGAAATAAACGACAGTTGACCATAAAGAGTAGTGCTGAAATTTAGATTCATTACAAAACGCATTTTTTGTCATTAATTACACATATTCTATAATTCTCTCCTAGCTCAAGATTGTTAAAAAACTTGTCCTAGACTCAGATTAAAATTACTTAGCTTTTTTTAAAACAACAATTTGCTTTTTTCAATAATCCCAAGTGATGAGTAGCAACATAATATAATGCTAAGAATGAAGAGTATTGAAGAAATAACTAACATTAGTTCTGATACTTATGTAATTAGTACAACTACTTGAGCAAAATTTGGCAATCTTTCAGAGATGGGGGGGAACACATATCTTATATCAGTGTAAAATTTATTGCATGCATATTTCACATTTTAATTGTTCCAAAAGTCAATCAATACTTAAGGGATTTTCTCTTCTTTTGCTTTGGTGAAAATTCTGTGATTATTGTTTTAAAAATAGATTCAAAGCAATTGTTCCCTTTCGGTACAACTGTTTTCACAATACAATTGTTATTTGTAGTAAAATACTGTAAACCCAAATAAATTTTAATGAAGTTTCTTCCACTGTAGGAAAATTTTACAAGGTCATATTCTAAAGCTTAAGTAAAGCAAATACTACAATTTGTCTGTAAAAAACACTGGAACTAAGAATACAACACAAAAAATGAAAAATTCATCCGAAAAAAACACTCTTCAGTTTTAACAAGCAGTGTCATCATTTTCATATAAAGAAATGCTGATGTTGTTTGTTAAAACAGGAAAAATTGTTATGCACATGGGCAACAAGAGTTTGACACATTCTGAAAATCTGAAGACTTCTATTAAGATGGTTTCACTGAAATGCAAGTTTCCAAATTCACATGCACGTGCAAAAATGCTGATATTTGCTTGTTAAAACCGACAAACTGTAATGCTTACATGGTTGCTAGAGTAGAAAACATTCTGAAAATTTACAGACTTACATCAAGATGGTTGAGCTAAAATATAAATACATAACACATACAAATTCATATATGCTTGCTGATAGTTTAAGTTTTTTTTTTTTTTTTTTTTTTTTTTTATCCTTCCCTCATGAGATATATAGAGCATAATTTTTCATCACAATTTTCAAGTGGTAATTTAGACAAAAAATAAAAAGAAGAGGACTAACATACATCAGTATGATAGATAATCTTTTTCATTTTTCTTAATACATATTGAATAATTAAACCTGTTTTTTAATTTATACATTACCCATTAGAATTAAAATTTAAAACATTGAAACAAATTTAGTATTTCTTTAAATTTATTCAATCCTTTAAAATTGGTTACATTCTGAAGCTTAATTTTGAGTATATGAGATATATTAAGTTTATACACGAAGTTCAAACTCGGACATAAAAAGAATTTCAGTGCTTATTTGAACTCATCAGAAATAATAATTTATGGAATAAAAATTAGCATTTATAATGGGATATCACACAATCAGCATACTAAATGTTAATTACACTAAATTGAAAAATTCTGAAAATAATAATACTAATAAACAATTTTTTTTACCTTTAAATTTTCAGATTTGGCATCTCCAAAAATAATTAAGAAAGCTTTATTTAAAGAATCTTGATTTTTTAAACTTAAGATCCATCTCTGGATATTTGGAAGATCAGACACTAAAACAGATAATAAATTTTTATGCATATATTACCACAACACTAAAACACTATGAAAACTGGGTACTTATATATTTTCCTTTTGACCATTTTTAACAAATAAAAACAGTGCGGCTTAGTTCCAGTAATGGATAAAAGCATGATGTCACAATACACTCATAAGATCTTTGCTTTGGTTTTATATAACCCAAAACTTAAACTTTTTTTGAAAGAAGATTTAAGTTTACTGCTTTTTTTATGAATTTGGAAAAAAATTATTAAATCTGGGACCCACCTTCTACAGAACAGCAAGCTATGAAGTATTTTCAAAGTTATAGCGCAGGTTATACTGGTGCACACACTCAAAACATATACAGACTGTAAAGTGCAATAAAAGTTAATGAAGAACTCAGCAACATCACTTGGATTTGTACATAAGTGAATCTATGTGATGCTGCATTCACAAAAACAATGAAAATTTTATTGCTGTTTTATATGCCAAAAGGGATTTATGGCCACAAGAATTATTAGTGTTGTTTTAATAAAACTCATTTGTCAGATAATCTCAAAGTTTGAGATCATATTTATGTTTTTATATGTTATATCCATTAGTTGTATTTGTTGATTATCTAATTAAATAAACAGTAACTGGTGATAAATAAAGAAGGATTTGTTGCTTCACGTTTGGCATGATCTCTGCCAACTTTCATGGTCAACAAGAAAATACATAAGCACTGAAAATTGAAATAATTCTTTACAGCGCTGATTTCTACATACTATATAAAATGTACAAAAGGTACATTCAGATACTGTAAAAAATTTATGCAACTAGAAAAAAAATTAGCAAAATTATTAAATGATATCTTCTATGATCTTAATTGGACACGAATAAAAAATTATGCACCAAAGCACAAATGTGGTAACCTGTAATTTCAACTTATGATTAGCTATGAAATGATATCATCATCAGAAAGTTGAAAGAACAAATACTGATGAAGTAATTTTTCCTCCAGAATTTTCAGTTACCCTTTTTGTTCCAAATATTGATTTTATAAACATATTAGGTGCTCAAAAAATATACAGATTAAAATTTTTTATAATTTCTCAAAGATGAGGTACAGACAGTGTTCATTCATGGCTAATACCAAAGAGGAAGAATAAAAGCTTTTGTTGAGAGCTTATTGATTGTTTTTCTGCTTTAATGCTTGACGGTCCTATAATAGCAGAGATGGCAATGCCTAAGGAGAAAGCCTTCTGTGTTCTGCAGTTTACTAAGTATGAATTTGTTATAACAGTTTGAGATGCATGCCATAGAAAGTTTAAAAGTGAAACCCTAAGTGATGGTAGCATTAGTCCATAGTATAGCAGTTTGAAGCCACTGGATGTCTGTGTAAGGAAGAGAATAATAGATGACCCCATGAGCATTTTCAAAGAACGTAAAACACTTCTGAGAAGATTTTTACATTCTTCTAAAATATCTGCCCATAAGGGCAACTGTGAATTAGCAATGCTTGTGATGACATAATGGGCTGTTTTATACAAATACCTGCATTTACATACATAGTGTTTATAGCCTTTAGAGCCTTTGAAGCTTACTGCATGCTTCAAAGTTGCAGCATTGAAGATGATTTTCTTGATTGAATGGTGCACAGTGATAAATCCTCATCTCATCCTACAGACTATGTTAAGACACAGAATATTTACATATGGGGATCCAGATATCCTCATGAGCATGCATAATATGAAAAATCTTCCTAAATCTTAATGTTTCCTGTGCAATATATTGATGGCAACTTTATGGACTTTGAAACTTCAAGAAAGTGTGACAGAAGCTAATTATCTGAATATGCTGGAAGAAAACAATATTTAACAATAATGTAGAATGCCCTCTTTGTAAAATAATGTTTGAATAACATAGACCCCAGCTGCCATATTGAATCGCATAGATCGAATGACAGAGTATGTTTGTTGTGATCTCCAAGGTCACCTAATTTGATCCCATATGACCTTTTTCCTTCAGGGTTTTGCCAAGGATGCTGCACATGAATCTCCACTGTAAATAGCAGAAGTACTTACTGATTACTCAAACTGTAATGCAGAATTAAAGCAACTATTGCTAATATGATAATAGGAAAGTGTTGTATGGAAAGAAAACTTATCTAGTGGTTGGATTTGTATTGTATGATGAAAGATTCTTACACCGAATTTTTTTTATCTGTATGTGTTATCCTTTTATTTCATGTGTGATTTGTAATTGTAAGTCATACACAGGTGAAATCAAATAACTTTGAAATCTCAATATTCTTTTGTCACTACATATAAAGGGTATTTCAACATGAATATGATATGATTCCAAAACAAAATAATATAAAAACTATTTCAGATACAACAATTTTTTTACATTATTTTGAAGAAAAATTTATGACATTACATTTTGGAAAATAGATTTATGCTTCCACCTCCCACCCTGCTACCACCTTGTTTTAGTGCACACAAGCAAATTTGATGAATCCAGTTTTCAATCACAGTATGCAATAACGCGGGCTAATATCATGTGTGCAGTGTTTGATGTTTATTCTTAATGCTTTAAAGGTTTATGGTTTGTTTGCATAGACCATTGATTTCAAATAGTTCCACAAAAGTAATCTAAAAGGGTTAAATCACAACTTCTCGGAGGCCAATTAGCACATCATTTTGTGAAATTATCCTTTCACCAAACTTTTTTTTGGAGTTGATAGTGGCATAAGCAGCACAACATGTTGCACTGCCACCACAAAATAGTCATTCCTTTCATGAAACTGTATTTATCTTTAAGGATTGTCATTCCTACTTTCAGGTAGACTTCCTGTTAATATTTATATTTGGCACTGAGAGAAATCCTGTTAAATGCAAAATACCAACAGTAATGAAAAGATTAAATATAAAAGCTGTATGTCAAATTTGCTGAATATTCCTTTTATAATACAAAATCTTTAAACAAATTATAATTCATGTACATGCAATAGATTAAATTAGTTGATGATTAAAGATTAAATTAATTGATTAGATAATTATAACTTCATATGCATGCAAAAAGATTAAATTAGTTGACTTTTACAAATATTAATGTTATTAATTTTACCTTCATATGAATTAAAAATAAAAATTATTCAATAGAAAAACTTATATTGCTTGGAAAAAATAATTTTAAAAAGAAATTATTAAGATTTACAGAAACAGGAGGTCATATAAAAATCTAGTATATAAAAGCACTAAGCCAGTTTACCATCTGATAAAAGTGATGACTTAAATAATGGGTACAAATTTGCCCATATGACAATGTCAGAAACATTCAGCGAGTCCTGAAAGAGAAAAAAATACGCATATATCTTATTTGTAAGAATATTCAATATTTCTACATAATAAAACCAAATTTTTAATTTAGACTTGAACAAATATAGATTAAAAACTAAATAATGAAACTTAATCAGGGATTTTCTTGAAACAGTTTCCACAAATAATTAAAAATCTGCCACATTAAAAAGAAAAGAGATTTTGCCACCTCTTGCAAAAATCAGCCACATATAATTCATGATGAGCAATATATATTTACTATCCTTGAATTTCTATGTCTGATCATTAAATGTTTTGTTCTATGTATTTTTGTTTATTCTCTACATAAAATTTTTATTAAAAAAGTCCAAAATGCCAATTATAAAAAAGAAAATTTTTCTATGTTTAAATATCTAAGGTAATCACAGTTAATAAATTAATTTGCACTTTAAATAACAAATAAAACTACATATTAATACATTCACTATGTATTTAGATCAAAGTGACAAAAAAATTTTAGTTTTTATTATTATTTACCTATAACTAACATAAAAGTGCTTTTTCAGAAAAAGTAATGCAAAGTTGATGTTTCAATTGGGAACTGAACTTGTAAACTTTATATTGCAGATTAGAACTCTTATTACTGAACTAACAAATCATTTATGTTCTTTTCCAACATTTTTATATACTTAGAGCTTAACCATTAAGTACAGACATTCATTTCCTGTTACGTAAATACAGACAGGGGTCTCTCAGACCACACTCTATTTTATGTATTTTAAAAATATTAAATTTTAAAATAATGTACTATTGTTATTATATAAGTTTTAATACACTTTTCTTGTTAGGAACTACTTTTATATGTGCCCTCAAGTCGCCAAAATTTCTCACCAAAAACTCCACGCCGTCATATTACTACCTAAATTTTTTGTCTACATTTTGAATTTTAAGCCTAAAATGTCTCCAAGAATGCAGTTTTTGCACATGCAAAAACCACGTTTTGAAGACACAATTTAAGCTAAAAATCCGAAATGAAAACAAAAAAATTTACATAGCAAAAATGTAAAGTTTCTAACCAAAAATATTTGACAACAATCCATGTACGCAGGGATATGTTTTAGCTTCAAAAAACATCTACGAATTGCACATTCTAGGAAGTGAAGAAATCTATAAACTACGCACACCTCGCTTCAATAAATTAACATAACAACAATTAATTTCAAGGAATACCATGTACACAGCATTCTGTTTAAACTTTAAAAAAATCTACAAATTGCACAATCTAGGCATTGCACACAAATCAACCAAATAAACTAAACTAAATTACAAATAATTCAAAAAACAACAATAACAAAAATGTATAGTAGAAAAACAATAAACATAACGTTCTACAAAATAAAAACAGTAAAACAAAATGCACTTACCATAATACATTCCTGAATAAAATTTCGCCAGTCATACAGCGTCTCTGACCAAAAATGCCACGATTTTGTTATACCATATGTCCTTCTGAGATTCAAAATTTCGAAGCTAACGATAAAAACTTCCTCCAAAGTTAACTTACTACACCAAAACCACAATCCAAATCTTAAACTCCGCTGACAGCCACATACTTTACCAGCAACCATTTGACTGCAAATCTGCCCAAGAACTATCAGAAATGCCCCTCTGAGTTCTCATAGCAGCTCCGCATTTCGAACTCCATTTTAAAAGTCCCACAGAAATTCCAAAAATACACTTCAATCCTCATAAACACACATGTGAACATAAGACTCGTTAACAACTCCAACATCGCACCTTTTAACACTAAATTTACTTTCCACACAATCTAAAATACACGACTGAAATCATTGCAACATGGACCATTTCAAAATATGCACGACACGAACCAAAGAGTAATTAAACCACTCCAGCAAAAGATTTTTCAACGTCAACAAGGTTGCCATACAACACGCAATCGCGCCAAAAACCAGCGCAGAACATATATCGCCACATTTGGTGAAATTAGGGCGCATATAAGAGTAGAGCCGCTTGTTATATTGTAGTAATTAAATCTTTTTAAAACTTTAAACTTAAAGCATAAAAAATTAATTTAAAATCACATACAGTCAAAAAATCTTTAATCCGAACTCATCGGAACTTCGGCGATTTCAGATTTTAGATCATCAATTTAAATCTGGTAAGATAGCACGCAGAAATTATAAAATTAAAAATATGAAACCATAATTTATGAAATAAAGAGCAATTATGATCTAAAGGGTATCAAAATTTACCAAAAAAAAAAAAAAGCTTAATATTTATTTGTTTACTTTATTAAACATTTCTTTCAATGCGTGCATGCGTAAAGCATACATTACGCATAGTCAAAATTAGAAAATTGCAACTAGAAAACTATTTGATGTGTATTCTTGTTATTTATAATGACAAGGAATTTTATTTAAATCATATCAGAGACGGAGTACATCGAGACAAAATTCTAGATTTAGTAAGGAATTATAAGCCGAATAAAATAAAAACATCTGCCCGAAAGATAAGAATAGTGCTGACAGATCAACTTCCAGTTCATTGCGCACCGCGACGTTGTGTCAAAGTACTACATTGTCAAACCTCTACAGTTAAACTATTATACAAATTCGAAGTAGTGATAAAGCCATCCTCCTCATGCGAGAGAAAAGTAACGTAAACGCGGTGAAGTCAATTTAAAAAATTATTTAAAAAAAAAGCTAATGGATAAATAAAGTTTAATAACAATTTAGGAATAGTTATATTTTATGTCAACTTGAAAGTACTGAAAAGGAAAAGAATAACTATATAACTTATAAGCAGTTTCGCAGTTCTAAAATATTGGCACGGTCATACAGACCCCACCTCTTTGTTTAAGGATTAAATAACTTTTCTTCTATCATACAACACAAATCTTATCTATAAAATGTTACATTTTGAGAAAGATTCATTCATTAACTAAAAGTTCATGAACCCCCCAAAAAAGCATTTATATCAAACCTAAAATTTGAAAAAACAAAGGTAAGAAGCTTGTTGCAAGTGATTACAATACCTTTCCTGAAAAATAATTTTGTTTCCCAAGAACTGCATTTAAATAGATCAAATTCCTTTTAAAATCTGCTGGTATAGTTTCACCTTTTCCTGTTTTCAGCAAAAGTCCAACTGATGGCTAAAAACAAAAAAGAAGATATTATTACCTATTATAAAAAAAAATAGATCCATTAAATTTTCGTTACTGTTCTATTATTGGTACCAGAGCCGTCACCAAATGTTCTGCTAAACTCGCCAAGAGATTGATTTACATGAAGTCGCCAATGTTTGCTTTTAAAATTGTTACAATGTTTACATTTTAAAAAAGTAAAAGAATGCATTTCAAAATCGGCAAAACGAATACAAATTCTAAAGATGTAATGGTCACTTTTGTTTTTATGATTCTTGTATTTACCATGGAGTTGAAAATTTGGAATTTACCTAATGATGATACATCTTCCATATAATTTCCTCAGGAACGAAGAATCATTCACTTTGAAAGAAAGTGCATGAAAACCATAAAATAAAGTTCTACTGCAATTCAAAAGAAGCGCCCGAATGGAGATATGAAGATCCGGATTTGAACATTTCTGCATTAACCATATGTATAATTTTATCGATACTAGTTACCATACTCAAACTTTTGAAAAGTTATGGGATAATGAAAAACAGACTTCAACGCGGCACTGAATGTGAACAATTAGATTCTTATTTAAGTTAATGTGGCAACAGCAGCATCTTAAAATGCAAATCTTTTCAGGCAATTTAAATGATATCTGCAGTTTCATGCCTCCACATTAATCTTAATTCACTAAATTCTCTAACTAATTTTTTTTCTAATTTCTTTGTTAAGTTGTTTAATTTATATTAAAAATTTCTAATTGTATGACTATCTATTATGTTATTTTTTCCCTTGGATGTTTCTTCAACTAAACGATGTCGTACATATTTTGGTGATCTGAATCAGGTTCGGATAACAGAACAGTACCAAATTTCATATAAACATTTCAAGAATCACTAAACTATATAAACACAATATACAAAAATAAAAGAATTTTTAAAAGAAAAATTCTTTTAAATTACACAGTTAGCAGTTGAACAAAATAATAACATTATAACTTAGTAACTGAGTTATGAGATTATAAAGACACTCAGAAATACTCAGAAATCATTGTTTAATGTTTAAACAATGATAATGTTTAAACATTATCTTTTAAAGTAACTAATTTCATCTTTTAAGTATAAATCTATAGCAGATAATGAAATTGAAGTCATTATATTAAACACTACTTTACAAATGCTATAAGCAGATGAAGCTGCATTAATATACATTTAAAGCCATATAATTGATGTTTATTTAATATAAATTATATATAATATTAGTATTCAAAAAAGAATGATACATACTTGCCTTTTCTACAAATACTAAATGAGATACGATAACAAAATAATTTCCTATTTGGGAAAGCTGCAGCAATGTATATGCAAATTACTATGTCCAAAGTGAAGATATATAAAGGCCAAGATCCAAGTATGTGATTGATAAAATATTTGAAGACTTAAGAATTGTGTGTGAAACATGCAGAACATAAAACAATGGCTATATTGATTCTTAATTTATCCAAACAGAACCATATGGTTACAAAAGGACTCAGAACAGGAGACATTCATTGCAAAATGATGAAATGTATCCCTATATAAATTCATAACTGTAGAATAGCAGCAGCTTTCAGGTTTGATGCTACATGAATATGCCACCATTTTTAACTGCAGACAATATATTCTCTTCAAGAAATAGTGTCACAACCATAGCACTCATCTACTACAAATTGTAGGTGACAAAGATATATTCAATTAGATAAAGCATATCTACTAATTCATTACTATCTAATTTTTAAATGCTACCTAATTACTATCTAATTTTTAAAGTTCAAAAAATATATATACCTGCAAAGTAGAAGATTCCCATTCTAACCATGCATCAGTTTCATAATTTACAGGATTACCACTAACTTCAACTAAATATCTACAAAATGCATTTTTATTAAGTTTTAAAAATCACATATTTACTGTAGGTAACCATAAATAAATTACATTTTAAATATATTATTTATTATAACAGACACTTAGACTGGAAAAAAATACACTGCATAACTATTTAATTAAAAACATTAAAATAAAATATAAAGCTAAAGAAACAATTTAAGAAAAGATATACACAATTAATTTTAGTATAATTAACTTTGTACAGATCATTACATAACAATTTATCAAAAAATCAAGATGAAATTCACATTTAAAAAAAAAGCAAGAGCGTGAAAGTATATTTTGCATCTTTAGTAGCCATGGAAATAAATTAAATTATAAAGCACTACCGGTTACATGATTACCAATTAAAGCACTACCGGTTACGTGATTCTCTAACCCAATTATGACATTTTACATGAATATCATACAAATAAGGATTACTTTTTAAACCATTTCAATAATAATTAATTACAACTACTAAATATCGGGTTTTAACGAAAGTCTCCCACCATTGCAAATATAGTCTGCACGAACAGGTCACATTGGCATTTTTAACCATATTTTCTCAAACAATTTTTGACATTTGAAAGAAAGGGACTTGCTTTAGAACACTGTGTTACGAAATTTGTAAAAATATCATTATCATTAAGTACAAGGTGTCTGAAATGGAACTAGGCTACTAGAAAGAACCATCATTTACTTCTAGTTCTGTTGCAAAAAGTCAACTATAGAATGTCACCAAATCATAAAGTTCAAAAACACAGACTACAACATTCAAGAAGCAGAGCACTCTGGCCTGCCTATGGATATTGATGAGCCTTGTCTACAAGAACTATAAGGAGTCACACATTAGTGCCATGTCCATTAGTTGCACTATGCATCCCAAAAACTTGATGTATAAGTTCATTCTCTGGGTGCCACATGAGCAGACTGGAGCAAATAAAGACAGATGTGTTTGGGCCTGCACTAATCTGCTCGAATATCAATGCAAGGACAAAATTCTGGCCCAGATCATCATTTTATATGAAAAGTGGATTTACTTCAACACCACAGGTTGAAAAGAAGGTTGGTCTGCGTTCAGTGAGCCTGTTGGCAGTGTCGCAAATAGCAATTTGACTAACAAAAAGATCATGCTTTATATCAGGTGAGATTGCCGTGATATTATCCACAAAAATTATCTGGATAAAGGTAAGACCCTCGACAGTAAGTTGTATAGCAAAATGCTAGTCCGTGTTGACTCTGCTATCAAGGAAAAATGTCAGATTGAGTTCTGGCTCAAAAAGCTAATGTTCTATCAAGATAATGCAAGACCAATGTGTCTGCATTCAATGGCTGAATTCTGTATGGACTCTAATGGGATATTTTGCCACAACCACCCTACAGCCTTGACAGCGCTCCTTTGCCCTTCTACCTTTTTTCACACTTGGAGCTACATCTTGCTGGTGCTATCTTGCATTCTGTACAGGACATCCAAAATGAGGTTGATCTGTTTTTGGATTTCAACCACCAAGTTTCTGGGCTGAAGGCTTTGAAAAACTACCAAAACATTAGTAGAAAATCATAGATTTGGGTGGTGATTACTACTCACACTAAAGGTACTGCTTTCTTTTTTTTATTTTTTTTAACATTATTAAGAATGTTTTTGGCGGAAAACTTTTGTAACAGCCAAATATTTTCTTTATGCTAAATTATTTAAAATATGTTGCAAACCGATTTTGCTTTTTTACTCTTTTATTGCGAATCAAATCATTTTTTTAACAATTACCTATGAAAAGGAAAAAATTATTTTCATCATAAAACTACTTATTTCAACACAATTCCTTTTTTAATTTTGTGCATACTAAGCAAATGCAAGACACAAAGATAATTTCTGCCATTTTAGTTGCATATATTTTGAAGCATTTCATTCTTTTCTTTAACACAACTAAAAGAAATTAAACCGTTAAAAGAGATCACTGCAGGAAAAAAAGATATTTCTGTTATTTATTATTTAATTTTACTTTAGCCCAGATAAATTACTAAAAATGAAAATACCATTGAAATAAAAATTTCGCCGTTTGCGTGACGTTTTATTTGGTCTGTCAACATTAAGTCTTTTAGCGAATCAAAATCTCGCACTTCCGCTCCGTTTAACCACTCATCCAGATAATTCCTCAGCTCGAAGGCAAAATCTTTATATCGAGTACCTGCACGCCGCTGGTGCTGAACAAATTTAACCTGAAAAGCCTCTGGGCTCAACTTGAAACGTTGTAAAAGAATTTTCTTTACGTAAGCGTAATTATCAAGTTCCTCTTCCGGTTCTCGTAAAATAATAGAAACAATGTCCATTGGCAATAAAGCCATCAACTCTCTCTCCCTTTCCTTTTCTAGTCTCTGCTGTTCGGCTTCTTCGAGCCTACGCTGTTCCATCCGAGTTTCAATAATGGACTCTAGCGGGACCTCGACAAATTTATCGTCATAATGAGGACTCTGCACAGTAAGGTTTTTAAAATCCTGTATTTTTGCATTGGGGGGAATCTCTAAACCTAACTCCTCAGACAGATTTATGAGATCCTGTTTCCTGCCCTTCCTAAGATATGACATATTTCAAATTCCAAAATTTCAGATCATACACAAAATAAAATAGTTTTTCAAAAGTATTAGCTGCTTACTATCAAAATCTTTCACATTTTAAAATTAAACAGAATAACGCAAAATGACATTGCAATTTATGATATGCTTAACATAGACTACTATTAAAATCTTTCCCACTTTAGAATTAATAAGAATAACACAAAATAACATTGAAATTTATGATATGCTTTACACAGACTACTTGCGATTAGTAAAATGTTAAGAAGTAAAGACCATTTAGAACAAATAATTTCAGCGTACAATTTTAAATAAAATATTTCAGCTCAAACAGGTAATAATGCTAAATACAATAAGCAAATTTCTAAAATACTTTTCGACAAAAGCAAAACAGAACTTAATTTATAAATAACACATGCCTCTTAAATTTGAAAATTTGACACTAAAATTCGGTTTCTCAAAACCATTCAGGGTTATGAGTGACCTATCAATTTAAACATATAAATCAGACACAGCAATTTCACGTAATAAAGTAAATATTGCCTCTACAAAGGTTAATGGCCAAATTGACATACCCCGTTTTGCAGACAAGCAGACACACATTTTTCTAATCAATTCAGAAGCACTTCATCGTAACTATGGCACTATTTGTTTTCTTTTTTATATCACTAAAGAAAACACACTTTTTTCTCACTCAGGAAAACTCAGGGAAATCACTATTCACTGAACACTATTCAGAATGCAGCAAATCACTTCGTAAAGAAAATACACTTTTTTCACTTAGCAGGGAAATCACTATTCACTGAGCACTATTCAGGATGCAGCAAATCACTTCATAGTAGGTGTCACAGTTGGAGGTACTTCTTTCCGCAAACGCGTATTCAGAGATTATATCGGATTCAGAGATCGCTGAAACTTGCTATTGTCCACATAAGAGGAAATTTACTTCTGTCAGTTTTGCAGGCACTTTTTGCACACAGTTTTCCATACAGTCTTTGTTGCAGCTGACACTTCGCGGGAAACAGAAAAGTCTCAATTACTTCTTCCTTCAGGATCCCGCCGCTGCCACCATTTTTACACATAGCCTCTATAGCTGTGACGAATTCGAAAGACAAAAGGTAGCGTAACTGATTTTATTTCGGTTTTTTCTAGGCTATATGCAAGAAAAATATAAATAAATAAACTTATAATAAAATATTGTTCTCACAGTAGGGTGAATAAGTTCCTGTTTAGATGAAAGTTCTTGTTTAGAAATAGTTCAAGATGAGGATAGGCTCAAGATGAGGCTGTCTTGAATAAATCAAATCTCAAAGCCGGTGGTTGCCGGACTGAGCTGAGTCAGAGCAGGATGCTCTTCGTAAGGTAGCGGCGAACCCGGCTACCTCACTGTATCTCATGCAAAAATATTAGTGTCGCTCTACGCAGAGCGAAGCAAAAGTTTGCTCGTGGCCGAGCTGGAAGAAAACCGAGAGAAGGTTTCTCTCTCTAACTTACTGCAACTAACTCTCACTTTTTGTTCAAGTTGTCCTGGGCGTGTCAGAAAAACTTCCAGGACCCTTATTTGTCTGTAATTTTTAGAAGCGACTCTTGATTGGCGAGAGCACTTTGATTAAAAACGGGATATGATGAAGACAGCCTGTAAAAAAGTCCGTGGGAACTTTTCGATTCCAACTGGGGATCTCAAACCGGTTGGTCTGAGACACTTGAACCTACAAACTGATGAAAGGGAACTGAACAATGATCTCCTTTCGAACAACTATAAAGAGGAACAAAAAGCTGAGATTGCTTTGTGACTGCTAGGTCACTTCCTCTTTTCCGAGAATTCGCTGAGAAATACTCTGTCCGTGGGAACTTTGAGGTGGTCATTCCTTTTCTGAGAACTTCGTGCGGGTCGATAAAATAGCTTAAGACGTTACACCCTTTATTCAACTTAAGGAAGAATTTACAGACGGCACTCCTGGTACTTACAAACTTAGGCTAATACTTCTGGCTGCAATTCAAAAGAAAATAAAATTAAGACTACGCGTAAGTTAAATAATTAGACGAAGTTAAGAGGGATAATTAACTAGTTGGCTGTTAGCCCTATCACCGACATTAATACGCAAGGCCTTAAAATAGAAAGCTTTAATCAGAGGAATAATGTTGTCGAATAGCAGAAATACTCTGTCTGAAGTAACTCGACACCAGCTTAAATAGTATCATCCTATCCTACTTTGCATAACACATGAAACTGAAAATACATTCCGGCAGGAAATGAATGAGGGAAGATAGATTGATGAATTTTACCCACTTGACCTTCCACACAAGAGGAAGGTCACTATCTACATAAGATTTCGCAAAACTATTTCAAGGTGTTTTATTAAAACGTTGCGTTCCAGCCAACAGAGGTTAATTCTTTCGACTCTATATGAAGTGAAGTAGATGAAGCGGAGTGAATCTACACCTCTCAATTTAATTTTTTTAAATACAAATATATATATATAGCAATAACAGTTAATTTACACCCTTATCCACAAAAAGGTTGCTTATCAAGAATTAATCAGGATATATCAAATGAAAGCACAGGTTTATGTGTTGACACATCATGTTTATCTATGATTGGTGTTAAATCACACTACTTGCAACAGTTTCATGGTCAATAAAATAATATGCAAGTACCCTTTTTTCGAAGTCAAATAAAGTGTTAGTATTCTTGCAACAGGTAACCATAAAATGCAAGAGTACAAAAATAAACACAAAGACATTACACATGCTTATTTTTATTACATAACCAGATTATGTTAAATTATACAGCATTATTAAATGAATATGGTGATGTGGTCCTGAAGAATTCCTATCATATTCCTCGATGGTCATCACTGTACTTTAAACACATTTCATTTTTATTTTGGATTGTTTAGATATTGTGTTAAACCTCTTACACAAGGATGCAATTATTAATATTGCTGAGAAATTGTCTTGCTTTGACTCCAATTTACTTTTAATGCTTTAAGTTTATTTTACTTCAATCCTACAGCTATAGTGCAGGACGGGTATAAAAAAATTTGTGGTTAATCTTTGGATTATGGTAACTTGGCGATTTTTTGGCGACCAACCCTGCTACAGAAACCTGCTAGTTTTTGTTTGGACGCCATTTTGTTTTCACGAAATTAAATTTTTTTTTTTTTTTTAAACTCAACATTTTTTTCCAACAATCTGCTAGCCGAATTACGCTTTTGCTAGAACTTTTATGGAACAAAAGTGCTTAATCATGACAAAGATTAGGTGCGAAATTGGGAGAAAGTGCAGAATCGCAAACTGCTTGCCGCGTTTTTAAGAATTGCACATCACGTATCCATGTACACGCGGACCTATTTTCACTTAAAAAAATCCCAGAATTGCACAAAAATGGCATTGGCACACTCTTGACTTTATCCATGTACACTGCTAAGTCCTAGGCAGTAACCTTTATCGCCTCACCAAAATGTCGCCAAACTACCTGTTATCATATTCCAAAGATTAGACAAATTTGTTTTTAATTTTTGCCTCTTATTCAGTTTCTTTGTGTATATACATATTATACATACTAATCAATATATAAGTGGAGTTTTCAGAAGACTTCTTCATGAATTTTATTTAAAATAAAATTTCTTCTTTCCTTAACAACAATAACAAATAAATTTCTTAGGTAACTAAAAGATAGAATCAGTCTTCAAAAGTCTCCCATCATGTCAAAATTCTCCATCATTCTTTGCTTTTCTTGTCATTTCATTATTTTTTTTTAAAGCTACCACTATAGTCTCAGAACCTATTATATCCCAGAGCTAAGAATATGATAGTTTGAGGACCAGCTAGACAAATTACTAATGCTAAAAATTATTTTGACAAGACTAGATGACAAGATTTTGCCGTTGCACTCACAAGGAAACAGTAGCAAAATGAGTGCTTTGTAATAGCAATATAAGAGAAATAATATACCACACTGTGAACTCTATCCCATTAAAAAAAAAAAAAAAAAAAAAAAAAAACCTGAAATTCAATTTCAAATCTATACTTTAAGATACAACCATACAAATAACAAATAAGTTTCTTCTTTTTCAACTAACTTTGTTATTTTCAAAACTGGCACTGTATTCTTAAAAACAAAGGAAAAGTATGTGCATAACATCAAAAATACAATCTGAAACATCAGATTACAACCAAATATATTCGCCATATTAATACTACATAACAAGTGTAAACGTACCAGAAATTCAAGAAAACTATATTTATGAAGGGATTTTCCAGGATTTCCAGTTACAAAGAGAAATACATTACTATTCACAAAAATATTAATGTACATAAACAGGTACAATTCCAAAATTGAAAGATACCTGCAACATGCATTAGCCGAAAAATATGATGAACCATCTGATGCTTCAAAAATAGGTATCCGTGAATTTCTAATGCCTAAAAAATTAAATAAAATACTATTAATAAAAAGACAAAAAAAATTTAAATAACAATAATCTCACAACTGGGTTTTACCCACAACTGTATATATATATTCATAAAATGTATTGATCATTATTTATAAGCCTACATCAAATAACGAAATAAAATTTGCTACAAAAATAAAGGTTAATAATTCAATACTCCTTATATTAACGACAAAAAGCTACATAAATTCAATTCTTCTCAATCCTACTAGTTTTGGTTACATTAACACCGGGTATTATTTAAAAAAATTACAAAATTCAAAATGATGCAAATCTGTCAAATGTTAGCCAACTTATAAAAAAATAATAACTCTCTTACCAGATGAAGGAGAAACATTAACGTTTACGCAATAAAACTTTGAAATGGCTAGAATTTTTAAGGAACTAATACTGCAATTATCATCAATGTATAATTTCATTGTGTGTTTTACGATTTAATTGCATCCAATTTCCACGTTTAAAAGACAGACAAAAACAGACAGACAAAGTATACAGATTTCTTGTTTTGCACCCGCTAAGTCTTTCTGCATTGATGGGCGAAAAATCAAGCATATGTGCGAAGGAAAGGTTTATCCGCGATTCAATTCACCTATAGATGGCGCTTTCACACATTAGTATGGCGGATAAAAACTCGGTATTTTGATTTGTGATCTGACTTCGTACATTCAAAAATGGAGTTACTTAGCTCTTCCGAAATGTTTGATTTTGTTCAAGGAGGCGTAAATTCTCGCTGTATTACTGAAGCAGAGAGAATTTTAAAAAGCTGATCATTTGGTAATGCACGGAATTTTACTTGAAATCCAATGTACAAGTTTTGGCTTTCTATTTAAGGATAAGTTCTATAGCGTCCTGATCGCATGAAATCGAAGGACATTTCATTGTTCAAAAAGGACAAATAAAAATTTTTTAAAAAAAAAATTCTTGTTCATGTAAAGGAGGAACTGCTGGCTGTTGTAGGAAATTGTGTCGCTGTTTTATTGTATTGTGACAGGTAGCTGATTTTAACGTTCACTGATTGTAAACAAATGATTTCATATGTGTTTTACTTGGGATTTCTAGAAAATCTGTGCAGTCAAAAGTGTCTTTTTTTCCCATAAAAATGATATTGAATCATTATATGTATACTAAAAATATATTGATCTATTATATGCATCTATTGTATTTATTATACACATGATAGCACTAATCATCAAATGCAATTTTGAGAATATCAACAAGCAAAGCACTTAAAAAAATGAAAAAAAGACACTTGTTATAGAACTATTAATATTCTGTATGTATTATAGAAAATACATGCAATGAATAATACCATGACCAAACATTTCAAAAAAAAAAAAAAAAAAAAAAAAGCAGATTAAGTATTACCTACCTCAGTACTTGAGAAAGCAATCCTGGCATATAACATGCAGTTAACTTTTGATTACATGATATTACAAGCATTTTCTTTAGTTTTGTCCTACAAGTGGTTTAAACAACTCAATACTGGTAGTTTAATCTCAGCTCAAATCCTGGTGAACAAGCTGGCTGTGCAGTTTTTATTTTTTTGCATGTGTTTTTTTGTGAATACGAACCAGTTTTCCCTATAAAGTTCTTCAGGCTGATAACCAATGTGCTTAGCCATATTCAAATAGCCTAATCTAACCTTACCTTTTCTTTAGATTCTATATTCACATGTTATATCTTTATCTGTTAAGATTTGTTCATAACAGGATCACCAGGCTTCTACCAATCTGGCAGGAGCATACTCAAAACATGTCAAAACCATGTGATTTATAACAAAATCGATCATGTTGTCCTTGCAAACCTTTATAAATGTTCCAAATTTTCTTAATAATCTTATTATTTAGAAATGTGTTTATTGTTGTTTTTATATGAACAAAAGCATTTAAATATATCAATTTTAAAAATAATGGAAGTGTTCTTTTAATCAGTTTTGCTTTTCTAATGCTGTTTTTAATTAATAACTTTATATCTGAGCCAAAAATTCAAGAATAAGTCTATTAAAAAGGTCTGTGTGATAAGTCTATTAATTAATTACATTGTATGAACTTCAACATCTTTGAATATGAAACACTGAACTAACACTTTGAATATGAAACATCCTATATGAAAACACCGAGTCCATTCCAATCTAATAGAAGAATAAATTATACTTATCAAAATTCACAGTACGAGCTTCTCCGTATTATATTACACAAAGATTAGAAACCAAGTCTCCACATAGGAAATCTTACACTGATATGATGGTCTTGTATTGAAACAGAATTGTAGCAACATAGATGATATGAATTACATTATGCCAAAGAATTATTTCATCCTAAATAAATTATAGCATTTAGTTTAACCAAAGACTCACAAAACAAAATTTCAGATTTGGGTTAATCTTTGGATTATGGTAACTTAACGATTTTTTGGCTAAAATTTGGCGACCAACCCTGCTACAGCAACCTGCTAGTTTTTGTTCGGACGCCATTTTGTTTTCAAGAAGTAAAGGCATGTTTTTTTTTTACTCAACATTTCCAACATTTTTTTCCAACAATCTGCTAGCCGAATTACGCTTATGCTAGAACTTTTATGGAATAAAAGTGCTTAATCATGACGAAGATTAGGTGCGAAATTGGGACAAAGGGCAGAATCGCCCACTGCTTGCCGCGTTTTTACGAATTGCACATACACGGTATCATCCATGTACACGTCGACCTATTTTCACTTAAAAAAAATCCCAGAATTGCACAAAAATGGCAACTCTTGCGTTATCCAGCACTTAGTACACTAGTAGTCCAAAGACCATTCCAAAGATTAGCCCAGATTTGTTGTAAAATTGGTGTCATGTTTTTCCCTATGCTATAATAACTCCACACATTATCTACATATTTTTCTTGTCAGTCAAGAAGATTGATGGAAATATTTGTCCTTTCAAAAATTATTTTAACAGTAATGGAGAAACAGATATTTCTTTTTAAGTTACATGATCAACAGAAACTATAGAGATATAGCATATAAAAAAAACCTTGAAAAAATTATTTGTGGAAATTTGGGAGGAACAGATGCTATTTATTTGGTTAGATAATCAACAGATAAAAGTGGTTTATTAAGGATTTCTCAGTGTTATATGAAACCACCGAGAATTTATGAGTACGTTTTGATATCATGCTTATCCATTATTGGGGCTAATGTACATTGTTATCAGTTTTTGTTAGCCAAAAATGGTCGAAAGTAGAGTAAAAATATTAGGAGTTTGACGATAATCATCAGTATACCATAATGTATTTGCATAGAAATATAATACCCAACAACCAAAAATAAATTAAACTTATCAAATGAATTTTAGTATGCCATAATGGTTTCATGGGAAAATATAACATACCTCTTAAACAACTACAATCATTATATACAAAACAGCCATTTCATTATAAAAAAAGGCATAAATTATATTAATCAGATAAAATTTTTGTAAGAGCTTCACTATCTGGTTATAATTCTTAAGCAAACAAGAAGCCATTTCCAGTAGTACCATAATATAATTTTCATAAGAACTATCCCATTCCATCGCAGAATATTAAAAGCGTTTTGGTAGGTAGAAACAAGAAATTTTATGGTAATTTTCCAACCATATTCTAATATTCAGATTGTAGATTTTAAAATTTTATCATTTAAAAAGTACAATTTCATAGAATGCAAATTTTGGTACTTTTCCGTTTCGCCAGCGCAAATCTCGCCAAGCAGACTTTATTAGCGACAACACACAGTATATACACATAAAAAATATAGACAAATGTTAGTTCTAAGAATTTTTTATTTTAAAGGTATAAACATTTAAATGTCATTTAAAATTTTGTAAAAAAAAAAGCCAATAAATTTTCAAAAAGACATTAATTTAAGAATTTACTATGCTTTCATGGTAAAACATCCTGATTCGCCGGTTCACATCACATGACCCCAAGTGATCTCATTTCACGTAAAGTACACTACTACAAAAATTCAATTCTCTCAGTAATTATCTACATTAATTTCAAGTTAAATCTTAATTTGGAATACAAGTTTAAATGCAAGAATTATTTCAGTTTGTACGATTTCAATAGCTTAATCAGAAATTATGTAAAACCACAGTGCTTTACTTTGCTAGTGCATTCTGATTAGAATTAATGAATTTAACCTTTGACTTTGCCTTTTCTATATTTTTGCCATCGGGTGAGCGGTATGATAGCATCCTAATTCACATAATTACCGCCCGCGAAGACCACCAGCGGCCGAGCGGTAACGCCGCTGAACACTGGTAGTTCGGTCCGAGGTTCGAATCCTGCGAACGGGCTGGCTGCATGGGTGTTTTCGTGGTTTTCCCCATGTGTAACTTGTATACGAGCCAGTTTCCCTTATAAAGTCCTCCACAAAGGCATATAGCCTCCAACTAAGTTCTTAGAATGAAGATCTTCATTTTTTTGAGATAAAATGTTTGTCATTTTTTGATTATTAATTTCTTAAAAATAAAGTTTCACTACATTTAAAAAATATTTTATATAATTTTGTTACAAATAGATTATAGATTATTATAAAGAAAGTTTACTTTTAATTA